GTACATGAGACAGAAACGATTCAGAAAGTGCACAGGAACAGTATGTCACATTTTATTTGTGTTATTTTAAAATTTCTTTGTAAGAGGGTACAGTTTTTAGGCCGAGTGTAACATTTGGTGTTGTCCAAGTATTTAACAAAAGATACCTGCCAGTACGCAACTAAAAGTCTGATGGGATCTAGAGCCTCACACTGCACTGATTGTATTTTCCAGGTGTTCACCGTTGAAGAAATGATGCCCCACGTCCAACACATGAAAGGAGGTCACAGTAAAAACCTTTTTCTCAAAGACAAAAAGAAGAAAGGGTTCTGGCTGGTGACTGTTCTGCACAACAGGCAAATCAATTTAAACGACCTTGCTAAAAAACTGGGTGTCGGAAGTGGAAACCTAAGGTTTGCTGATGAAAACGCCATGCTGGAAAAGCTGAAAGTGGGCCAGGGCTGTGCGACACCGCTCGCCCTCTTCTGTGACCAGGGAGAGGTGAAGTTTGTGCTGGACGCTGGCTTCCTGGAAGGCGGCCACGAAAAGGTGTATTTTCACCCCATGACAAATTCTGCAACCATGGGCTTAAGCCCTGACGACTTCTTGAAGTTTGTGAGATCAACAGGCCACGATCCCATCATCCTACATTTTGATGAAGACGTCAAGTAGAGGAAGCTCACATTTCTATTGCTGGGCATAGATTCTGTGGAGCAAAACTGGCAAAAGTCTCATGACACGTAACGTTTGAAAGCACAGGCTTCCTCCCCCTTTGTTTTTTCAATGCTGTAAGTTTGTATTGTATATTCTGGCGAGAAAAAAAACCCCACTGTCTTCGGGTTTTTAAGAATATTCTGTTAAACTTTTAATAAGACAAGACGTGTTTGCAATCTACCATTAAGTAGCCAGTAAGTAGAGAAGGTGGTGTTTAAATAATATTATACTGTTTATTGGTAAAATGGGTAAAACCAGAAATTTCTGTGTGTGGTACTGGCCTTGAAGGTTTAAACTTAACATCATCAGGAAATAACAAGTTAACAGTTCTAAATTATTTGTGAGTATACTGAGGACAGGGATGTCTAAATTGTGTACCTGCACCCTTTTATCCCCTGCTACATGTTGCTTTTTTAAAATTATTTTTACCTAGAAAAACACAACTTGGCTACGCTACAGAAAACGCATTTGATTGTCTAGGGTTTTAGTTGCATTTTCACTTTCACAGTATCCTCCCCTTGGGACAGAATTACTAAGCCCACTGGTCATTCCCAGATGGCTACTAGTTGCCCCGTGAGGGCGGGTGCGTGCCTCACCCATCACCAGCGCCTCCCCAAAGGCAGAACACGAGGAGCCACCCGAGGGTGGGAGAGCTCCGAGGAATGAGGCTGCTGCAGGTTCCTGACCCAGACCAGTACATTCTCAATGCCAGCTTTCTAATTCATTCTTTCTCCTCCTCTCCCTCGCCTAAGGGAGCAAAACCCCCTTCGAGGAGGTTTTGGGTTAAAGAGAGAAGCAGCAGAAGCTCTGTGAAGCCCAGGAAACGCCGTAGCCGGGGGAGCAGTGACAGCGAGGGCCAAAATCTGGGGATGGTGGGGAAAAAGGGCTTTTGAACACAGCCCAACGGAAACGTCACGTACAACCTGTGCCCGGCAGCGCCAACACAAGGTGGGACAGAACGGAAATAAAGAATGCAGGGGCACGAACTAAAAACACAGAAAAGGACTTGCCACCTTGGATGACTGCTGCTCCATCGCGCTAGAGGATGCGATGCTAACGGCGATAAAGGGAAACATTCTGAAAAAACACAAGGCAAAAATGGGCCAATTTGGCTCAGTTTCATTCTGGGCAGCCGAGACAGTTCTATGAGCTGAAAACGTCACAAACATTTCTGTGTTGGATTGGGTTTTTTTTCCCCTGTAGGAAAGTGAAATCTTTTAATTCTCCAGAATGAACAACTACAACCGAGTCAGAAAAAAAAGATATACAAGGCAAGTTACTTCCCTAACACCCTCACCAGGGTTTCCTTCACTGCCGAAGGATTTGGCACCTCTTCTCAGAGACGTGCGCTCGGCGACAGAGTACTTCCTGACAGAGCAGTTTAAATTCTCCCCTCCGCCTTAGGAAGACACAAGCTGACCCCAACTCTCCCAGGAATCGTCTCAAACAGCAAAGCAGCAACCAAAAAATGCTGAAGCTATAGGAAGGGTCACTAGAAAGGCGTCCGTATGCATGTGATTTTGTATTTATTAAATAGAAAGACTGAAAGGAACAGCTGGTATTTGGGGAGTACTGGGCTGATTAATGGACTCTGGGTTGACGAATGCGCTACTAAATTAGTTTGACATGAAGACACAGTCTTTTGTGTCTTTAAAAATAAAATTTGTCTTCCCTCTGCTTGCCACTCACTCTCCCTCCCCTTTAAGGTTTCTTCTTTATGGTACCCCAAAAATCCTTTATCACTTAAAAAAATTCCAAACACTAAATTTGACTTGTCAAGGTTTTTAAATCCAGAAAGCTTTAAATGTGGAAAATTGCTTTAAAGACACACGCCCAACAGCAGTTTACTATGCTCCACGAATCTTAAAGGGCTGTACTCCCCAAAAAGTGATTGCCTTTGTCCTCAGAGGAGACCGAGACCTGCCTCAGCAAAACCAACCACCAAGCGAAATCACGTCCTACATCTGGCAAATCTAGAGCGATTTCTATTTGTATTTGCTTATGAAATTAGGGTCTTTTTTTTTTTTTTTTTAAAATAATATCAAAATAGCGTACAGATAAAAGCTACACAGCTCTACACAAATGAACACCACGGAACAAACTATGCACTGCCCAGAAAAATCCTGCTGCGGTTTTATCGGCTTCCTTCTGGAAGAAACACCGAACACGTCACCGACTGAGCACAACGCCACTGCTCAACGCCAACACCCTTCGGTAACAGCGCTTCCCGGAAAAAGTGTGTATAAATCTACACACGAAATAAGAATAAAAATTATTTGGTTTGGCATTTTAATAACGTCATTAATAAATGTATACAATGGCAAAACATTAAAAAAAAAATCAGTATGTAAAGGAAATTACAGTTTTAAATAAGAGCTTTTGTTCGTTTCACACCTAGGTACATTCCTTTAAGGCAGTTTTATTAATATCAAAGCATTATTTACATATCCATTATCATCCAACTCTCAAAATCATACACGAGCTCCTTTGCTGAGGCTGCATCGGGTCTTGGAAAAAAGCTGAGCAATGTCGCGAAGGTCACAAAATCCTCAACAGGAAAAGCAAACAGAAGTTACGCCTTGTGTAGTGCCACCACCTCTTCCGCAATCCGGAACCAGCGGCGACAATTTTGGCAACCCCTGCGGCGCAAAGCCGCGCGCGTCCCCTCGGTGTGTGCCGTCCAGCAGCTGCCGCGCTCTTCCCCGGGACTCTCAGGAAATGTGAAGCGGCTCCCAAATTAAATTTATGGGGTTTATTTTAAGGGCACAGACTGGAAAGATGAAGAAAGAAGCTAGAAAATCATACATCATCAGAGCACAGGTGACCTGCTGACTGCGCTTCTGCTCTCTGCAAACGGTGGTGCTGGCAGGAGCAGATTCTGATCTCAGAAACGCGAGGGTATTTTGCCAAATTTAGCAAATAACCCCAAACCCCACTCTGTCCCGACGCAGACAAGGTGGGTCGAAACCTGCTTAGGTGGACGGGCGCTAGGCAGGGCTGCGGCACACGGCTCCGACCTGTGCTAGACCCTGGCCCAGCAGGAGGAGTTCTGCCCCCAGACCCCTGCCGATTCTCTCGCACAAGGAAACCTCGCTTCTGTTTTTGGGCGAGGGGGACTCGTTTCAAATACGCCCCATCAGTTAAATAGGAAAATTTGTGCCCACGGCCCTGGCTGTGATTGCACAGATGCTTTAAGGAGGTGTAATTACATGCAAAAAAGCAAGCGTAGAAGTCGCGACGGGACAACTTGGGACAACTTAATGAATATGGAAAAGAGCTGAGCTAATAAATGAGGCGCCCGGAGGTGCCCGTGTGACAAAAGTGACACGGCCACGTGTGGCGAGGGCAGGTTACGTGTGGCGAGGGCAGGTTACGCGCGCCGAGGAGCGCCTGCCACGCAGTCACGGCAACGCGCCACTCTTGCCTCGTTCCCAGCGTCCCGGCGAGTCCGGTTAAACCTGAACACAGACAAAACTGCTCGGGTTCTGTGAATGCAAACAGCATTTGGCACTACAGCTTAAATCTGTTCATTCAAGACTGAAAGTAGTGACGCTGCTAAACGGTGAGGGTTTAATAGCGTGAAATGCATCCGTCCTCTGCTGCCAGAGCGCGCTGGGAGAGCCAGTCACAGCCAGACCCCGAAATGAGCTTGAAAATGTCGTAATTTAGGATCGGGAGCTGGGTTTTCAGGAGCGCTCTGGGCTTCAGGTCACTCCCGGGGTTGCTGATCTATGTTGATAGGCTCCGCAAAAATCACCACGCTTCCACCGAAATCGGTGAAAATCTCCGACGCTGAGAATAAGGGACCAGAAATGGATGCCAGCGTGAGCTGGTCATCAAAACAAAGCCATGATTTGAATGAAATACCAGAAACATCTTCAGAGGGAAGAACGGAAATTCTGTATGGTGGAGAGCTGCAGAATTGGTCCTATTTTCACTCAAGGAAAAAACCAAACAAAAAAAGTTTAAATTCTCTGTGAAAACAATCCCAGGCTGAACCAAGTATTTATATTATAAAACCAAAATATTCTGTTCAGATCTGGATCTTTTAGCACATTTGATCATAGAAAGTACTTCAGAAGGAAGTCACTTTAAGGAAAAAAAAAAAAACCCAAGAACATTTTCCCTTCTGAAGCTTCTGAACTTTCCTCTTTTCATCCCCTTTCGGACAAAATTTCCATAAAATAAAAAAAAAAAAGACTTGCCAGTACGCTTGAATCTGTTGAGCTGCATTCTCTCTCCTGTGAAAAAATGATTCTGTTCCAAGGGTCCCTGGGCAGCTTGAGACTTCAGAAATGACAAAACCTGTGAGCCTCAAGAAACTAGCTGTTACCCAGGGGAAGTTATGAGCGGCAGCCATCAATTCACGGCCCCCCTGCGACCCTGGCTCTGCGTCGTGCTTACCTGCAGTGGGGTGAACGGGAGAGCTGTAGGTGAAAGTCATGTACGACCCTGCTGGAGGACGGGACACGAGGAGGTTCCATGCTTCCCTTAACCCGTTGGAACAGGAATATGAATGTTTGTAATAAAATAATTATAACAGCTCGCTTTGGATCTGCTTATAAAGTCACGTACGCTCCCTGCGAGCTCCTGCAGGTGCTTTCGAGACAACAAATGTATGCAACCACTGAACGTACCAATAACGTTTGCTGACTTTAATATAAATCAGTAATGAACAAAACGTATCTTACTAATAAAAGATAACCTTAGGGGGAACTGATTGTAAAATGCGTATGATATTATTTACATTTCTTTTTGCCATCGAGAAACCTCCTACGCCACAATCAGCTCATGTCAAAAGACAAACAATAAAAAATAATAATAATAATAATAATAGGTCAATACACAAACATCGTAAGACAGTCTTATCCTGGAAATGCCATTTGTTGAAAACAGCCTTCTATTAAAATAAAAGTTATAGAAAACTCATACCTGACAATGTCCCGTCAGAAACATCTGAACATATATACGCAGAGTAACTTGGGAATGTGAAAAACACAGATGACAAACAATTTCTGGATAACACGACGATCCCATGACTCCCACTTCTGTTAGTTACCGAGCTTTTTCATGTATGTAAACAAATTTTTTCTCTCGCGGTATGCAACAAAAAATCAGCATAAACTTTGTAGAGCCATTTCATGCAGGTTACGCTAACCGAGTAAGGCAGTGAAGTGCCCGGAAGCTGTGAGGTTTTTGTATCTGTATATACAGGCAATTTCAACAAAATACTACAGCATTTATCTTACATTTACAGAAGTAAATATAAACGGCTAGTTATGGGGGTTTTTGGCTAATTATTAGCAGAAGCTTAAGCAAATCAGTGGCTAATTTCATAAACAGAAGATGAAAAAAGTTTTTTGTTTTTTTGTTTTTTTTTTTTTTTCCTGGAGTAATTCTTGAGACCTTAAAATTCTTGGTCCTTAGGGAGATGAGAACTGTCCTTTATTCAGTAGATCTTAACAGTGCAATGTGCAATAATTCCTAAGACCATCTACAAATTTTCGGCAGTAGACTCCAGTAGAGCTCCTTGATTCAAGGAAGGAAGGAAGGTAGGTAGGTAGGTTTTTATTTCTTGCCTGCTCTAGTCACGAAGAATGTAAAAAAATTCCCTTAATTTTTATTAATGATTCCTACAGTCGCTGTCTTGTTACTTCAGATATAAAGGCTTCACACTGAGATACTGAAGGACACTTTTCTCTCTGCATTCAGTTGAAAGGTGGAAAGAGAAAAGAACATAAGAAAAGCTTAAAGTGTGGAAGTGTAAAACACAGAGTTAAGTCACTACCAGAACTAACAGCACTAACAGCATGCATCAAAGGTGTTTCAATGAAGTCAAGAGGAGGACAGAACGCCAAAGACGAGCTTTATAAAAAGGCAGTTTCCTTGTAGTACAGAATGCTTTTTGGTTTGTTAAACTACTCTTTTAGATTCATCTGTCCCTTTCTAAGAACTGACTTCAACATGACTTATTTCTTTCAACTTCTTCAAGAGATTTGAAGACTAAAAATAAATGTAATTTTGACAGGCAAAAGGCTAAATGGGATGAAGTTCCCTGCCTACACAGGCAAGACAACTGCTGTGAAGCGCCCTGGTCTGGCTTGACTCATAAGCAAAGTAGAAGCCAGTTAAGCAAGCAGTATTTACATCTGGTTAATGCAATGTGCACTTGTTCTTATATGTAATGCTGTTAGTTTGTTGTAAATGAAATTAATCTCATTTACATTTTGGGCAGGAAACTCACCACTTGGCCCACATCTCATCTAGTGGGCAATAGAATTAGGAGCTTTGTTGCTCCCTAGACCTGCTTTTTGAATTTCTGCTTTCTGGGATAGCTTCCACATCTGCAGAGAAAAGCATTTCATGTTATTCATTGTGTTTATCAGGACATGAACAAAACCCCTCATGCATAAATACATTCTACTTATTAGTAGAGCTAAAGGATATATAAACACTTTTTTTTTTTTTCTTTTTTTGAGGAAAGGACAGAGGAGAGGGATAGAAGAAACTCACTGGAAGTGCCTCCTCAACTACGCTCATTACAATTCATCTTAGCATTTAAAATAACCAGGTACTATTTTCAAAGCCCCAATCAGATATGCTTAACTCTAACCCTAAACTTCTGTCTGTATGAAAAAGAAAAAAAATAAATCAGATGTAATCAAGGCTGACTGTACCTAGCAGAGAACTTAACTCATCTTTGCATTTTTACCTGCTACGCATTGACAGAAACGTTCACATTCCGTTCTGCAAACCAGAAAATTATCTTTGCATGCAACAGCTTGAACGTGCAAAATGCAGTATCTTAAATTTACTATTCACTTCAAGCAAAGCATCAGGCAAACCTTTAACTGCAAGCAAATTATTGAGCCTGAACAACAAACCCTTTTTTGGCTGGCAGCCACATATTGAGAGTTCATAATTCCCATGCAAAGTCCTAACTTGTCATTTCTAAAGGCAGCAGGGACGCAGGAATGAGCAAGAAAAACTGCTCGGGTTCTGTGAATGCAAACAGCATTTGGCACTACAGCTTAAATCTGTTCATTCAAGACTGAAAGTAGTGACGCTGCTAAACGGTGAGGGTTTAATAGCGTGAAATGCATCCGTCCTCTGCTGCCAGAGCGCGCTGGGAGAGCCAGTCACAGCCAGACCCCGAAATGAGCTTGAAAATGTCGTAATTTAGGATCGGGAGCTGGGTTTTCAGGAGCGCTCTGGGCTTCAGGTCACTCCCGGGGTTGCTGATCTATGTTGATAGGCTCCGCAAAAATCACCACGCTTCCACCGAAATCGGTGAAAATCTCCGACGCTGAGAATAAGGGACCAGAAATGGATGCCAGCGTGAGCTGGTCATCAAAACAAAGCCATGATTTGAATGAAATACCAGAAACATCTTCAGAGGGAAGAACGGAAATTCTGTATGGTGGAGAGCTGCAGAATTGGTCCTATTTTCACTCAAGGAAAAAACCAAACAAAAAAAGTTTAAATTCTCTGTGAAAACAATCCCAGGCTGAACCAAGTATTTATATTATAAAACCAAAATATTCTGTTCAGATCTGGATCTTTTAGCACATTTGATCATAGAAAGTACTTCAGAAGGAAGTCACTTTAAGGAAAAAAAAAAAAACCCAAGAACATTTTCCCTTCTGAAGCTTCTGAACTTTCCTCTTTTCATCCCCTTTCGGACAAAATTTCCATAAAATAAAAAAAAAAAAGACTTGCCAGTACGCTTGAATCTGTTGAGCTGCATTCTCTCTCCTGTGAAAAAATGATTCTGTTCCAAGGGTCCCTGGGCAGCTTGAGACTTCAGAAATGACAAAACCTGTGAGCCTCAAGAAACTAGCTGTTACCCAGGGGAAGTTATGAGCAGCAGCCATCAATTCACGGCCCCCCTGCGACCCTGGCTCTGCGTCGTGCTTACCTGCAGTGGGGTGAACGGGAGAGCTGTAGGTGAAAGTCATGTACGACCCTGCTGGAGGACGGGACACGAGGAGGTTCCATGCTTCCCTTAACCCGTTGGAACAGGAATATGAATGTTTGTAATAAAATAATTATAACAGCTCGCTTTGGATCTGCTTATAAAGTCACGTACGCTCCCTGCGAGCTCCTGCAGGTGCTTTCGAGACAACAAATGTATGCAACCACTGAACGTACCAATAACGTTTGCTGACTTTAATATAAATCAGTAATGAACAAAACGTATCTTACTAATAAAAGATAACCTTAGGGGGAACTGATTGTAAAATGCGTATGATATTATTTACATTTCTTTTTGCCATCGAGAAACCTCCTACGCCACAATCAGCTCATGTCAAAAGACAAACAATAAAAAATAATAATAATAATAATAATAGGTCAATACACAAACATCGTAAGACAGTCTTATCCTGGAAATGCCATTTGTTGAAAACAGCCTTCTATTAAAATAAAAGTTATAGAAAACTCATACCTGACAATGTCCCGTCAGAAACATCTGAACATATATACGCAGAGTAACTTGGGAATGTGAAAAACACAGATGACAAACAATTTCTGGATAACACGACGATCCCATGACTCCCACTTCTGTTAGTTACCGAGCTTTTTCATGTATGTAAACAAATTTTTTCTCTCGCGGTATGCAACAAAAAATCAGCATAAACTTTGTAGAGCCATTTCATGCAGGTTACGCTAACCGAGTAAGGCAGTGAAGTGCCCGGAAGCTGTGAGGTTTTTGTATCTGTATATACAGGCAATTTCAACAAAATACTACAGCATTTATCTTACATTTACAGAAGTAAATATAAACGGCTAGTTATGGGGGTTTTTGGCTAATTATTAGCAGAAGCTTAAGCAAATCAGTGGCTAATTTCATAAACAGAAGATGAAAAAAGTTTTTTGTTTTTTTGTTTTTTTTTTTTTTTCCTGGAGTAATTCTTGAGACCTTAAAATTCTTGGTCCTTAGGGAGATGAGAACTGTCCTTTATTCAGTAGATCTTAACAGTGCAATGTGCAATAATTCCTAAGACCATCTACAAATTTTCGGCAGTAGACTCCAGTAGAGCTCCTTGATTCAAGGAAGGAAGGAAGGTAGGTAGGTAGGTTTTTATTTCTTGCCTGCTCTAGTCACGAAGAATGTAAAAAAATTCCCTTAATTTTTATTAATGATTCCTACAGTCGCTGTCTTGTTACTTCAGATATAAAGGCTTCACACTGAGATACTGAAGGACACTTTTCTCTCTGCATTCAGTTGAAAGGTGGAAAGAGAAAAGAACATAAGAAAAGCTTAAAGTGTGGAAGTGTAAAACACAGAGTTAAGTCACTACCAGAACTAACAGCACTAACAGCATGCATCAAAGGTGTTTCAATGAAGTCAAGAGGAGGACAGAACGCCAAAGACGAGCTTTATAAAAAGGCAGTTTCCTTGTAGTACAGAATGCTTTTTGGTTTGTTAAACTACTCTTTTAGATTCATCTGTCCCTTTCTAAGAACTGACTTCAACATGACTTATTTCTTTCAACTTCTTCAAGAGATTTGAAGACTAAAAATAAATGTAATTTTGACAGGCAAAAGGCTAAATGGGATGAAGTTCCCTGCCTACACAGGCAAGACAACTGCTGTGAAGCGCCCTGGTCTGGCTTGACTCATAAGCAAAGTAGAAGCCAGTTAAGCAAGCAGTATTTACATCTGGTTAATGCAATGTGCACTTGTTCTTATATGTAATGCTGTTAGTTTGTTGTAAATGAAATTAATCTCATTTACATTTTGGGCAGGAAACTCACCACTTGGCCCACATCTCATCTAGTGGGCAATAGAATTAGGAGCTTTGTTGCTCCCTAGACCTGCTTTTTGAATTTCTGCTTTCTGGGATAGCTTCCACATCTGCAGAGAAAAGCATTTCATGTTATTCATTGTGTTTATCAGGACATGAACAAAACCCCTCATGCATAAATACATTCTACTTATTAGTAGAGCTAAAGGATATATAAACACTTTTTTTTTTTTTCTTTTTTTGAGGAAAGGACAGAGGAGAGGGATAGAAGAAACTCACTGGAAGTGCCTCCTCAACTACGCTCATTACAATTCATCTTAGCATTTAAAATAACCAGGTACTATTTTCAAAGCCCCAATCAGATATGCTTAACTCTAACCCTAAACTTCTGTCTGTATGAAAAAGAAAAAAAATAAATCAGATGTAATCAAGGCTGACTGTACCTAGCAGAGAACTTAACTCATCTTTGCATTTTTACCTGCTACGCATTGACAGAAACGTTCACATTCCGTTCTGCAAACCAGAAAATTATCTTTGCATGCAACAGCTTGAACGTGCAAAATGCAGTATCTTAAATTTACTATTCACTTCAAGCAAAGCATCAGGCAAACCTTTAACTGCAAGCAAATTATTGAGCCTGAACAACAAACCCTTTTTTGGCTGGCAGCCACATATTGAGAGTTCATAATTCCCATGCAAAGTCCTAACTTGTCATTTCTAAAGGCAGCAGGGACGCAGGAATGAGCAAGAGCACCCTGCGTTTTACAGTCAGCCACGCGAATGGCCGAGGAGCACTCGTGGCTGGGTCAGAAAGGAATTTCACAGACCCTTCCACTATTTGAGCATAGACCAAGAGAGAGATCCCCGACTTAAAGCGTAAAGACCAAAAAGTGGAGGAAAAATAATCCTTCCATACGTGGAAACGTTTGTTTTCTTTCATATGTAATAAACAAATGTCAACCATTTATTTTTCAGAGACATTAAAAGGTCTAGCAGCACGCTTTCGCTGCCGCAGCTGAACCCAATGGAGCAAAGACAGGAGCACAAAAAGGTATCGTGCTCAGAACTGAAATGTAATTCATTACGTTTCTAAAACAACGCGGAGTAGTAGCTCGAGCTGGACAGGGTTAGTCTGGAACTCCCCTAGAGGATCCGCGACGGTGGTGTTCGAAGGCACTAACACTCAGTTATTCTGAAACCCCTTGTGTTTAAGGGAGAAGCTGTTTTAACGCTGCCCCACCCCGCGATGGAGTAAGGTAAAAGACGGGCTAAAAAGGCATTAAATACCAGGCGTAAATATTCATGATCAAATTTGTTTTGTATGTGAAAGCTCAGTGCTGTGAAGAGAAAGGCAGCAACGCAAACTGAAGCGCTCCGTGGGCAGCGGCTGGAAAAACTGTATTTTGTTGCCTGGATAGCAAGCTTTAACTTTGCTCCATGGGGGTAACCTTTAAATGTCTCTTTAGGCCTTGGCCTTGCTCGTGATCACAACTGGGGTTCAGTGGTCACGCTGGAGAGTTCGTTATCAACGGATCTGGAGACAATACTGGTGGTTTTGGTAGCTGCGACACTCTAAGGACCTGAGTAAGGTGAGGCTGGCGAAGGAGATAACAGCATGTCTGGGAGCTTATCCGATGGCTGGAAAACAGCAGTTGATCTAATCATAGAATCACAGAATGGTTTGGGTGGGAAGGGACCCCCAGAGGTCACCCAGCCCAACCCCCCTGCAGGAGCAGGGACACCTTGAACCACAACAGGTTGCTCACAGCCCCGGCCAACCTGGCCTGCAATGGTCCCAGGGATGGGGCCTCCACCCCCTCTCTGGGCAACCCCTGCCAGGGTTTCACCACCCTCACTGGAAAGAATTTCTTTCTTAGATCCAGCCTAAACCTACCCTGCTTCAGTTTAAAGTTTAGTTTAAAGCCATCCCCCCTTGTCCTGTCCCAGCTGGCCCTGCTAAAAAGCTTGTCCCCCCCTTTCCTCTGGGCCCCCTTGAAGCCCTGACCGGCCGCACTCAGCTCTGCCCGCAGCCTTCTCTTCTCCAGGCTGAACACCCCCAACTCTCCCAGCCTGGCCTCAGAGCAGAGGGGCTCCAGCCCTCGGAGCATTTTAGTAGCCCTCCTCTGGCCCTGCTCCAACAGGTCCATGTCCTCCTGGTGCTGAGGGCTCCCGAGCTGGACGCAGGGCTCCAGGGGAGGTCTCCCCAGAGTAGAGCAGAGGGGCAGAACCCCCTCCCTCGACCTAAATAGAATATCTAAATACAAGATGCTACCTCTAGCTCTGAACCTTGTTCTGCTCCTAACGAGCCACCTCGCTGCAAGGCACGGGCTTGCTACCAGTTAAGAAAAATACAGCTACTGGTAGCACAGTCTGAGTTTATAATAAGTACTACCAGAGCGAAGATTTTCTCTGTAATTCCATAAGTAACTTGCAAAATGTTATTTTATAATGCACACGTCACTTCAGACAGCAGCACTGTTGATCTCAAAGCTAATTCAAACGCTTCTATAGATTAACAGAAATGAAGTCCAACGACACGACCCAAGATCAGGACACTGATCTCGCTGCGTGAGAGTAAACGGGTGAGAAATTACGATCGTATTTCAGATTGGGGTTTGGGTTTGTTTTTTTAACAGTGAGGCAATTCTAGCGGGAATGCAGCAATAACTAACAGCACGTTTGAACAACATTGAAGAGAAGTGAGAAATAAATCAGCCCGATAATAATGCCTGCCTGCAGCCACGGTGAAGGATGGCTGCTTTGCATTTTGAAACAGTAATTTCACCCTCCACAGGATCTCCTTGTACCATCCAGTCTTCTCCCCCGGTTCCTCTTCCCCACCTTGAAATGCAGCTGGAGCAGAGAAAGGGCTATGTCTGCATTTTATCAACAGCTCCCCCGCGTGAAATGGAGACCTTATAGACTGACATAGGGGGTGTCGGCTGCTTTTCCTCCAGGAACCGCGTATTTGCAGCACTCCTACCCCTCCCTTGCTCGTTAAACACTAAGGAGTTGAAGGTCGACCCACACAGCGGTACCAGGACTGCCACAAAACTGCTGCCAAAATAAATTCAGTTGTAAAAATCAGAATAGGACATTCATTAGTTTCAATTTTAAATATTTTTCCTCCAGATAGGTTTTCATTCAGGTTTTTTATAGCGTATGTAATTTTGGCCTACTGTAACTGTCAGTAACTATTTCCTTTTGCAGAACAGCGCTCATGCCTAAAGCCTCATGTAATTACAGTCTGACTGTATTTACCACTGAGAAGTCTGAAGCAATTGCAGAGACAGTGGCATCTTGAGTAATTACTTATCAACATTTCTCTGTAGCTGGTCATCTGGGATTCAGCAAGTTATTCACTTAAGCATTTCTATCCTCCTATCATTTTGCAAGCAAACTTTTTGTTGTTTTTTCTTTAACTGTGCTATTTTAAGGGTTTTTCCTGTTATTTTGTTACACATCTTGTTTTCTATTAGTGTTATTTCTATTAAGAAGAAAAAATGAATTTCCACCATCATCAATACAGGTTTTTATTACCATACATCACAAGGAGCCTCATAGAACCCTGTTACTTGACTCCTCATAAACCGTACACTTCACCACATTGGTACACCCGACGTGGAAAGACAAAGCATACGAAAGGGAAGAGGTGGAAAGGGTCATTTTTTCATTAGAAGTGCTGCGTATCGTGTGACTATTTACTACTTCTTCATAAGAATTATCATTTATGTTTAGGATTATGAATGGTCTTTGTGTTTACTAACGTTCTACTATTTTAATAAGTATGAACAGCAATTCATATTTATCGCGGAAGCTGGAGGCACTGAATTCTTGGGCTGTAACTTGTTCCTTGTGCAAAGCGTATTTATGCCAGGATACGGCATAAACAAAAAGGGTAAGACACTGGAATCTCTCTAAATGCTTCTTTTCATTAGTATCTCATCTTTGAAAGAAGGGGGGGGGAAAAATAAATGTATTTTTACTCCACATACACAATCAATGTGTTACTGATACATCTGACAGCACAGGCACAACCGAAGAGCGCCGCCTTTGTACCGGGCGGTGTGTTGTTCACGGTGCCGTTTGCGGCAATGCAGCATGCGATTGGGTTTAACATGCACTCAGTAATGTACAGGAACAAACCAAAATATTTGTAATGCGTGACAAATAAAAATATAGCTTGTATTATAAAGACTTTTAAAGGCATGCAAAATATATACAGTGCAATTAATGGTTCATGCAAACTTTGGTGAGGTTACAATTTTACATTCAAGCATGCTAGAGTACACAACTGAGCCCTACGCCGTTGTTCTTGGAAAGCAACTACCCACAGATCTAACAAGAAAGCATTGTTTTCATTGTAGTGAAATTTTCTCTAAATCCAGTGGACATCGAGAAGGACGCCTATATGTCACATGAGACTATATATATATATATTTAAGGACACAACTTCCTTATCATACACAACCGTACTCATACCACACAGTTTTATTATCTTCAGAAACCAGCAGCGGGGATTCGGCCTCGCTGGTGTTTACACAGGTGGTAGGAACAAGTTCTCTAGTTAGAACCGACCGCAGGTCACTATGATCGGATTTCGGATTAGCGGAAGGCTGTTCTTGATTTTTCGGTACTGATCTAAATGCTGACAGATTTGCCTGATCGGTTGTTTTTGATGTCGATCTTTGAGGCAATCCACTTATATTACTAACTAATTCTGTGTTAAGGGATAAAAATGGCTGAGCCACCGTTAACGACCCTGTGCTGCCATTACCAGATATACTGACTTTATCATTAAACACACTCGTGCTTAGCAAAGTTCTCTCATGAAAATTTGACCTTTCCATCCTTGAAGTCTTAGGCACATCAGAGTTACCTCCTAAATTACGTGGTTTAACTGTATTAGCTGCATCGCTTTGCGGAACACAATCTACTCTGTAAGCCACACAGTGAAATAAATGAGAGGATAACTGGTGTGCTGAGTACTCACTAGAGGTTGGTGGAACACTTCTGTCAGCGCTGGACGGTGCTGGATCAACTGACACAGGTTGCCTACAGTCCTTAGACAAAAAGTCGTGAATGCTTGTCCTTCGAGTCGTTCCCTCCGCTGTAGAAATCACGCTGCTCGCACGAGGTAAGGTAGCATAAGGATTGCAATCTCTTGATTGTCGCTGGGATACGGTTGCTTGTATCTTTTCTTTAACCGATTTGGCCTTCCCTTGAGCGCCTGATGTAAATTTTATCGGAGAGCTAGTAAAGTAGGTATCTTCAGTTTTACGAAGGCTGGGCCTTACAAGTTGTTCTGGCTTAATGGATCGTCCATCTGAGAAATCAACTGTATTCTTTACACTTAATGATCTGACAATACCACAACCGGCAGACGGCTGTTTTCTTAGCTTTTCCCTTCCTGTCAGCTCCGCAGACTCAGATAAGCTTTTCATGACTTCATCTAAAAGATTCTCTTCACTTGCAGATTTCATCTGTCAAAAATATGAAATGTCTTATAAATTTATAAACTGTACTTTCGACCTCTTCTTAAGCAATCTTTGTGGACATAAATGAAGATAATTTCTAAAATGTGGCTTTTTTTTTTTAATTTCTAAGATCCAAAAGCAGTATTAAACATTTAAGGTACAGACTCAAGAGATCTCTCTACGGCTTACAGGCAGGTATTTTGAAAACTAGGTGTCAGACAGATCATAACTATCTGGAATTAGCTCCTGTAATACTGATTAGGGCAACAAATCAGATGATCAAAACTTCCAAGTTCATCTTCTCACCCACCTGCCCTCTGCCATCACTCATCGATACTTCCTAAGCCATTTCCTATGGACTATTATTTTAACTTACACTGATTATCTGGAGCTAAAAGCTTAAATCTCTATACACTCAAATAATAAAGACAAAAACCTCAGAAAGTAAATACAAAGCACATAACCTTTAGGTACCCTTGGTGCCTAAATTTGGACCGCACAGCTCCCAGTTTTTTCTTTCTGGAGAAAAAGAGTGCAGAGCTAAGAAAAAAAGTTTAGGTGAATGCCATTCACAGACTCAGTGGAGAAAGACTGCAGTCTTTTTCAAAATGGTAAAAGAGACAATTTGGAAAGAATCAAGCTAAGAGCATTAGTGAAATGCTCTGGCAGAAGATTGGAAAGAGGCCTCCTGAATGCCCTTCCAACCTGAATGCCTGCGTGGTGCTATGAAAGGGATTCTGCGATTCTTGAACAGCAGTGGACTATACTTGATGACTTGGGTGGTTTCTTTTTACTTCTATTGCCAGAAAAGTATTATCTAACGTTTAAAAATGAAAAATTCTTGTCAGAGAGACCACAGGTGAGAGGTCATTTTAAAAATCTAACAAAAAAATCCAGAAACTTAGTCCAGACTCAAGTTGCAGGCTACCCCAATCAATTCAGCTGCAAATGTGTATTCTTCAATTTCAATTGTGTCATGAAAAATAGATGGGAGTCCAGATCCTTACTCTTGATAAGCCCTAGCCACAGTAACCGGCTTGCTTTATCCTAGAGCACTATCCTAGTCAGATCTTCACAAGAATTAGTGATGTAGAAAAAAGAATTCTAGCAGAGACAAAGTGACTTTGGGCTTCTAACAGACTGTCACTGATTTAGAGAAACGTTCTCTTTGGTTTATTCCTCTCAGATTTCAATGAGCTCCAAGTCAGGCTTTTTGCCCAGTAGAGGTAAAAAGATGAAACTGAAGCAGACAGGAGTCTCTCCTCAGGGAATGAAGTAAAGCATCTGCCTTCCTGTTGATGTAAGACAGATCTGACAACAGCTCTTACTGAAGACAAGTGCTGAACTGGAAGAAAAGTAAACCTACGTTGAGTTTGTGGCCTTCCAGCTGAGCTCTGATGAGCGTACCACGCATCAGTACGCTGGACAATTTTGTGCAGCAGAGATTGACTTTCTTACCTAATTCAGTAACCCGGAAAGGGTCAAGCTGTGAAATTCCAAACGATTTTGTGTGCAATACAGCAAATACAGTTTATCAAGGATACAATCCACACTACTTCTTAATGCAGGCATAACCAGTATCTCCACAAACTTAAAGCAATTCTACTCACTATAAGTCTTCTGTTCATTCTGTGCCCATACATGGGATAATACATAGTTAAAACATTGTTTAAACTAACCTCACTTGAGGTACTGTTGTTGCTTTCTTCTAAAAACTGTTGCAGGGTAACAACTTCACTTCCAGGAGAACTGGTTTTGATCTGTTTTCCACGACTATCCAGCGTTTCAGGCGTTCTTTGCTGGAGCACAGGACTAGACCTGGTATGACCTTTCAAATACTGGATAGGACTGCTGCTGCTGCTAGACCAAGCCTCGTGTTCATGTAGCAGACTAAATTCTCCGCTGCTGTGACTTTGCGGCCTGCTTTGATTGTTAACTGCACCTGCTTTTGGGGTAAATGGCATTAAGCGTTCCGTAAGAAGATGACATGAAAGCTGCTGAACAGCGTAACCTTATGCAAAGCCAGCACATTATCAGATCCGGTTAACAGTAATTCTATTTAAGATACTGAAAAATCCAGTTGTCTTTTTTTACTCAAACCTGATATAATTTTAATACAATTGCACTCCCCTGACTTACCTCTTACAGCTCTTTACACGTGACAGGATAGCTTCTGACTAAAAAACTACCTTTCACTTAGAATCTGGGCCTCCACCTACATAATACTGCATTCCGAGAGGCTAACGGTAACACCTTCACCCGTGTTCAGCATCACTGCGAGGCGCACACTCGAATGCGCTATTAACGGGTCTTACACAAGTGAAATACAAAGGATGGAATGGAGAGAAAATATTTTCTTCAACGTGCTTCTTTTACAAGAACTATTCAGGAATGCTGCTTCTCCAACAGTTGCCATTACTTCTAAGTTTATTACAACCGAAGGAAGCATATGGCATTAAATGCAAACTAAATGCCACAACACCAATTCTTTTTATTTTTCAGTAATTGTGAATTGCTTAAAAAAATACTGATGAATAATCAAGTATTTCCTACGTCATGTTACTCCCTAAGAAATGAACTTAAGTTTGAAGAAAGATAAATGGTTTACAGGAGAAATTTCTAATACTGTATAGAAACTGGGGCAAGGCCTACCTCAAAGACTCTTTTACAGAAGGGAATAATCAGACAGACAGAAAATAAACTGATTAAAAATCTAAGCTAGCATTCATCTCTAAATTTGCAAACAAAGAGATACTGCTTAATAAATGCAAGCCATGAATATTGAACGCTGCCAACTCAAGACGTCATTTTAGTTCAGTATGTACGATGTTCTCCAGCTAGAATGGCCATTACAAACAAAAATATATTGTAAAACATGAGATTTAGAAAATATTGCTAAACCCAGGAACATTATTAATCTTCTAAAAACAAAAAAATAAAAGTTTACAGGATGTTACTATATATGCCATCTTGTCCCGTTTGTGTTGTCCACTATACAGCTTTACAGAAGCAGTGCACACGTGGCAGGATGCTAGGAGAAAAACAAAGGAGCAATTTCTCTGCTTAAAAATAAGTGATTTTAAAGTAATTTGGGGGGAATTCTTATTTTGTAACATCATCACTTGGGTTAGGTTTGGTTTAAAACAGTTTGTAACTTATATGCTAATATCACCCTTTTAATATTTCTTGTAAGTTCTACTCATACTTGTATCCTTTCCTAATTTGGGGAACGAAGGCTATAAAATGTTTGAAGAAAAACATGCTGTGGTGTGTGTGGGAATTGTTTCGGTTGTTCTTTTTTTAACCTATATAGATGATCTTACAGAGAAAATAATGGAAATGAAGCGTGTACGTAAATTCACCTACAGCATACCTTTGACTTCATGGAGTGAAGCATTGTTATTGCTATTGCTAGTGGATGTTCTGCCACTATCAAGGCTGGCTGGTCTGGAAGCTAAATGGAAAATTAGGAGACACCATGATGAACAAAATTTTAGCAGACGACACGGTACCTTTACATTCTGATCACAGAATGCTCAGAGGCAGGAATCATGCACTATTTCACAGGCTGAGCATGCCCATTGTCAACAAAGTGGTTTCTTACAGATCAGAAAGCGAAGGGATTTCCAGGCAGTCCAAGAGGACACTTTAGAAAAGGGCACTACAGGAATAGTAAGGTAACAAGGGAGAGGAAAAGAGAAATAGAGCGTACATTTAGAGTCGGAACTGATTGGTTAGTGGGAAACCAGGACGGTACAGATGAAAGGATGGGCATGCAGAAAGCTGCTCGTGATTAGGCCACTTACAACAGATTTGACAAGGAACCTTGCACATTGTTGAAATGCCACGAACAGGAGGAGCAAGAGCATCTGCACAGATAATGTCCTGTACTCCTATCCGATACAAGGGAAATGCACGGTTATTATCTTCAGAAACGTTTGTTGCTCATACTAATTTTAAGTATTTATAGAAGAGTTAAAACTTCACTTCTAAATAATCTGTGATAGCTTTCACTTCATAGCTTTGCTTGAAGGAACACGTAACGGGTTTATAACACACAGTACATGACAAATTTAGGTTTCACCGAACAATAAACATTGGAAAAATCAGGCCAGATTTGGATTTGGGTTTTTTAGGATTGGCATTACAGCTTCTTTTATTTTACTATTAACTCCAAATAAACTGTCAAAAGGGAAAATAGTTTGATCCTGTTCAGATGCACTTCACAGATACTTTGCACTAGAGATATAGAACATCTATCTGATGTAGTAGTTAAGAAAGAAAAGAATAATCTGAAGAAATGATACTATACATTCAAGAGATAAGCAAGTCACAGAAAACATGCTCACTTGTAACGATGCCATTCACTTTTTTTTTGCAAACTTCGTTAACATTCACATAATACAATCCTTAATTCATTTAATTAAACTTCACATCTTACCATGAACTCTTGATCCTGTACTAGAATCATCACTAATACCTTGTGGACTTACATCTTCAAAGGATGTAGTATCTACACACAGAGACATAAAAGATTATGTAAAATAAAATAAAATGAAAACATTCTTGAAATATTTATCATCTGTAAAATATATTAAAATATTTTTCAAACCAATCCATTTTTACTTCTGTAACATTCTGTAGGAAAATTCCCAAAATATTTTATAATTGCAATTATTAAACCTATTCGGTATCTTAGCACTGCAACTCAATTATTCAGGTTGCTTTTTGCTGGAAAACTTAAAATATAAGTAAACCCAATATTTATATGAAATTGCTGTTACACACAGTCACATCACGGTGCAAAAAGCTTCTACCTATACCTTTATTATTTAGCAACTGCTTGGATCTGAAGCCTGTAGAAGAGTTGACAGCTGCAAAGTTGATAGCTGTAGTAGAGAAGGCCATAGCTCCCAATTCTTTCCTCCTTTTACCCGTAGATATATCATCAGGACCCTCCAGATGCTCAGAACTACCTGTCCATTGTCCTCCTGCTAGGACCATGGACTGCACCAGGTCATTCATGGCTGGGATGCAAATGAAAGCAAATGATCAGCATGGTCAATGTATTTGCTTCTGTTCTTATTTTGTATTGCAAAACGTTGGACAGTTTTCTAAGCATCAAAGCGTATTGAATACTAGAAGATATAAACACAAGATCATCCATGTTATGACATGCAATCAGCTCAATGAATGAAAAGTGTTACAAGTCAGAGACTTCTTTCAGCTCAGTATGGTTCTTAAAACTGATATTATTAGGTATAATCGCCATGCTTGTGCTGCAATGGTATGTAATATATATGTTAGAAGCTTTGATATACTGTTTGCAATGATAAAAATGGAATGAATAAGGATAAAATGGGCAAGGGTGCTAATACACTAGAATGTCAACAACGATAGGGGATCCTTGTACAGTGCAGGTTACTGCAGGGATACTGTATTTTACATAACAACAAATAAAAGGATCTGAAAAAGATGACATCTGATGATATTCACCTTTACTTCACAAAACTAGAGAAAATTCTCCGCCCCTCATTGTAAAATAAAATAAATCAACATAACATTTTGGCAACAACAACTGATGAACACTTGAAGAGTGACAGACCACCATACAAGCCTTGCACTATTTGTCTACGCTTTCTTTAAACCAAAAGTTACAGCGATTTCTTAACAAAAGGCTTATGAAACGTGTAATTTGGAACTATTTAGGTTAACACAGTGCACTGTAAATTTATATACACATAGAGACATGTGTATATAGACAACTATGTATACAAATATATGCAATCACAATGCACTGAATATATATATATGTATGTGCGTGTGCTTGTGCATGTAAATATGTGGGTATGTGTGTGCACATCTGCGCATATATAAAGTATTCAGTGCCAAGAGAGAAAAAAAGAAAAAAAAGAAAAAAGAAAAAAGAAAAAGCTCCAGCTCCTTGTATTGTAGCAGGACTTGCACATTGCAAAATAGGAGGAAAAATACAGCGCAGTCCAGGGAGAGGTTAGTGAAAAATTAGTAATGGAAGCCAGTGTAGCCATTTAAAAGAAGCTGAACTGTCATAAAGTCTTACACATGGAGCGACGGTAGAAGGCCTTCATTTTGTCTTTTTCCTTCGGTCTGTTCCTCAAAAAGGGCAGTCTTTTCAGTGCAACCACTTTTATGTCATAGCATGAGGAAAAACGGAAACAGGGAAATGAAAGAAAAAAAGGGAGAAGAACAGATGGAAGTTAAATGTTGAAACTAAGGACAGAAATGAATGTCTGAGTTTAAGCTATGTATGCTATGCTAAAAACTATCATTCTCATGCTTCTGCGTGACAATGAAATATGAAAACTACACTGAAATATGAAAACTACACTATGAAAACTTTAATATACTCAGAAATGCACCGAAAATAATGGTGAAGAGTGTAATACAGTTTGAAAGTTCTAACTGCCAAGCTCTTGGAAAAAATAAACGTAACTTCTTTGCAGATGATTACACAAATTGACGGTTAGTTTTCACATTTCTTGAACACAAAGAAAAACGTGAAGCAAAAAAAGCTTAAAATGAAAGCAACTCTAAGTACAACTTCTACTTTAAAATACGTTTACATATGGTAAATAAGTCTAGTTTACATATAGTAAATAGTCTCATTATTTTTTGAGACTAATAACGTTTGTAATGCGCTGCCCTGCACCTCTAGTAGGACACAATCTATTATCAGTCTTCATTTGTTACCTTTTGTGCTCATTAATAGTTTTGGTCATCTACTGTCTTGTAGAAAAGTTACATGGACCTCAATGTTCAATCTGCTGTTTGTGTGCAGAGAACTTAGTATTTTACTGAAATAATCTACTTCAAATCTGGAATAAGAAAAATAAAATCTAGATTTATTGTCTGGAATGGTAGACACCATATTTTTTAGCTGAAAAAATACCAAAGATTTAAAAAAAAAAAAAAATAGCAAAAGAAAATCCAAATGTAGTGTTGCCGTAACATTTTGGGAGGGCAAAGAGGAAATAAGTGATACATAATATCAGGGAACAGAGTTAAAATTACAAATAGTATTAAAAGATGGAGGAGGGGGAAATCAGAAGTTAATCTTGTCCTTAGGTTCAGCTATTCCGCATTAGTAACCGATTACTGGCAGACACCTGCATTTGGAAGCATCAGATAAATGTGTCAGCTGACTGCCACGCACTCGGGAGCCACATGCAAACAACCAGCACGTAAAGACCCAGAAAGAAATGCATCAGGAAATTACCCAAAAGTTTTTATTTATGCAGATACGAAAGCAGCGTAGTCCAGTCTATCAGCCCAAGATCTGCTTATTTTATCTCTCTGGAGTCACTTTTGGGACACGTGCTTTGTCATTTGCCTTCGTTTTCTGCCCAGCCAGCAGCTTGTTGTACAGCAGTTTGTTTTATACAGCAGTACATATATACATATGCATTTACAAGTGCACATGAACCACCTTGAAAGAGAAAGAAATCTCCCTCTCCATCGTACTACTCTGTGTTTGCACTTAGAGTATGGAGTTTACAATGCAACGCATGTTACAGCTTCCACTGAATGCACGACTGGCACAGCCACAAGTGTCAAAAACACACAGAGAAGTTTTCACAGTTGCAGAATGCAACTCTTGACCAGAGAGGGACAGCAGACACCCTACAGCGGGTCCTTATGTGGGGTGGGGAAGAAGAGGGAGAAAAGAAAGGCACATATGCTACCTACCTAAGATCCAAGTGTACACTAAGTACAATCTCACCTTTGAATTATTCACTACATGGGCATACAGATATTTTTTATTATGTACATATACTTGCAGGTACTTCAAAATAACCAGTTTTTTGTTTTGTTTTGAGATCAATAAAGCACTCCTCCTCTTGTAGATCCCCGGGAAAGAAACCAAAACCAACATAAACAGATGCTGACTGGCTCAAAAAAAAAGCAGAGAGGCCGCTAAGCCCCCCCGTAAAGGACACATTCATATTGTCTATCTGACCGTCTGTAAACGTACGTAGCTTTGAAAAGCTTCCTGCCAAAGGAATATGAGGCACAGCATCAGACTAGTTTTCTAGCAGGTAAACAGCTCATCGGTTTTAACACTAATGCCAAACCAAAGCGGTTAATTCTGTTCTATTTCTACTACTTTTTGTCATCGTGGTGAAACATGACTCTATTGTAACTGCTATAATCCTTACACACGAAAGAACTGATCCCTCTTAATTAAAAACATCCACTCTAATCTTATTAAAAAGTAACCAGAGGATGTTCACAAATCATTTGAGCCATCTGTGATTCTTGTTCTTTAGCACAGATCACCTGCAAAAGGACTGATTTATGGCTCTCGGCAACTGCACCAAACAGAAAACTCAACTACTGATGTCCTGGAAATGGTCCATCACAACCTGTCCTTCTGCAAAATGCAACCTCCTTCTGAGACTACCTAAGTAATTTCTGCATAGAATACGACTAAACAAATGTCTTGCTAAGAATACTGGAATGGCAGAGCTACAGAAGAAACAAACTGGGCACCACAAAGTTTAGCTTAGGCAGCTTTTGCTCTTTATACCTTTATTCCAACAGACTTTAAAAATGGGATGGCAGGAGGACTATTTTGGTGTTAGTAATCATCTACTCCAAGAACTCTAGCTGTAATTCATTAACCTCTCTTGCTCTTTTCAGTATTCTGTGAACATGTTCTTGCTTTCTGAGCTGAGAACGAATGATGAGCATCGCAGGATTCTTCCACTCATCAGGAAACCTCCCATTTTGTAATCCTCCTACTGTTTGCTAGAAACACTCGGGAATTCTGTGTGGGTAGTATTAAAATCCTCAAATCATTTTGTTTCCTGCACACAAGAAAATGTTAGGCTGACATCTTCTAAATGTTTTGGTAGGAGAAAAATGGACCCCAATATACTCCTTTTATTTCCACTATGGTGTGATATGTCTGCTACTGGTACTACTATTTGAAGATCACAGGCTTACTAACAGCCTTAACTCCTTGGGATGTTGTTAACAATCTGAAATGGCTGAAGTGGAAGGTAGCAATAGTAATCTCTTTTTCTCCAAAAAAAAAAAAAAAAAAAAAAAAAAATCCATTTGCCTGCCTTGAGTTTTCTGTGCAAAAGCACAGAATGGTATCCCATCCCCGCTGAGAAAAAAGGCTCTGCACAAAGATGTCAGGTCTGTGGTACTCACCCGATTCACCTGCTGAATACAGACAGGGAAAGCTAAGGTGAAACTCTGCAGTCAGAGGAGTGTACAGTATCCACACTGCCTGCAAGATGTAACTTGTGCTGCACGCAGTAACAGCCACCCAGGCACCCCCTCCTTTCCAGGGGGCCCCTGGAATCAGCCAAGGGCTTCAAGGGCTCTGAGAGACCTCAGGTGCTGGTTTCTCTGCAGAACAGGGTAAGCCTATTTTTTGTGCCAAGACCACCTAGCTTTGTAAGAGAACTGGTCTCTTGAACACATGTGCATGAGGAAGTGTCCTGTATTAAGAAAACAGTCTCCATCACCACCTTCAAAAGAAGAAAATCTGCAGATTTCACATAGTGAATCTGTTTATCAGTAGTGGTAGCAGCAGAATAATTCATTTTGGAATCAGTATGTCCTCTCGCTTTCTCTGACATTGGGGATACAGAGTAGGAAACCTGTACACCTCAAAGATCACTTTATGTCAGATACCTGTCCTCCAGCTTTTGAGAACACCCCTGATTTGTGCCAGGGACTGCTGTTTGGGGAACGTAAGCTGCCTTCTCTTGCCTACTGAAGGACACACAGGTCATTTCACCTCACCAGTTCCCTCTGGAACCACTGCCATTCCCAGATGCAGGAGACCAGGGTGGAACAGAACCTGTCTCTTCCCATACCCAAAACTGCCTTCAACCAGTGTGGGAAGCTACAATACCCGAGCATTTGCACAGACAGGTGGCAACTTAAGGTTTTCTCTTTCTTGTACCTTCTTTCAGTGGAAGCTGCACTGCGAAGCCACTTCTTACAGAAAAGAAAGGAGCCACAGTATCTTGATATTTAGGATTTACAGTCATTCTAAAAGCAGAAGAAACATACTGCAAAACATGCACCATTACTGGTACTTCTCACACCGAGTTTTCTCTTAACTTTGTGAGACACAAACTGTCTCAGTAAGATTCTCAGCATTGAATTTGCACAAAATTAATCCAAATTCTATCAAAAACTGTGGTTTCCATGGCGACATGTGTAATGGAGAAAGGTTGGCATCCAGAATTAGATCAGCCCTTCCAGTTTGTGGATAAATACACTGGGATTAAGGGGAGTATGAACAAGGTCCATGGAATACAAAGTTAATGAGGTCTGAACAACTTCAAACCACTTTTGAGGATCAGGCACCATAACTACAACCACAGCTCCACCAGGAGGATAACTGCACACTACAAGGTCCCAAGTATCATGCAAAGAAAACTGTCACATGGAAGAGCCCTTCCAGAACATGAAATCGTTGACACAGATGCAGATGGTCTGAACCAAAGCGTGCACAGTCTTGATTCAAACACACTTGCAAACACATCCACTACAGCTTCAGTCACTCCTGAATTCCACGAGACTTCCAGTTTGTATGTAAAAGCAACAGTTGCTTCTCTGAAAAGTCAGAAATACCTGTTTTGAACCTTACACTGAAAAATGCTAAGCTTCCCAAATTGACAAGGTAGCAATGAAAGTAATAAAACGCACCCTCAAACTTACTATTTTCTTCCGGTATTAAAAAAATACTCAGAAATGTGATTTTAAGTTTCCCTGAAATAGTGGGTTTAGATGTTTTTAACTTTGACTAAGCTTCTGCAATAAGCACAGAAGAAAAAAATATGCCATAATGGCTTTAATAATTTCTAACACAGCAAATTCAGAGCTGGTACAAAACCCTGAATAGCAATCTGCTGTCTTTTGAAACCCAAGGCATTAAATTTTTAAAAAGTATTGCAAAGATTTTAAGTGAATGTTAATACACACGTATCCTGATGCTTTTACATGCACAGCCAAAATGCTTTTGGTGCATAATTATTAAATAGAATCACTGCAACCTGGTAACTTGGCTGTAGTATTAGCTCTCAAGTTGTGAGAAATTGGGCAGTTCACCCAATTTCATGCCAAGAGCGGATAACAAAAAAATATAGGTAATAAATGCACATGCTTCACAGAATCTGGCCTTTTTTACTGTGGGCGTCCCAACATGACGGCTGTCAGGCTCTTTTCAAGGTTAGCAAATCGCACCATGAGTATTCGATCTATCTGCACCTCTGTGACCCTCTCCAGTTCCCCTCTCAGCCACTTAACTCTGACCTTTAGGATCAGTAACAATTCCCATCTGTTTAGCAGGTTACGTCTCTACATTAACTCTTCCTATTGCATATGCATCTGATCTCCTTCTATGACCAGGTGACCCGCCTAGTGGATGAAGGAAAGGCCGTGAATGTTGTGTACCTGGACTTTAGCAAAGCCTTCGACACTGTCTGCCACAGCATTCTCCTAAGGAAGCTGGCAGCTCACGGCTTAGACAGTCGTATGCTTCACTAGGTAAAAAACTGGCTGGATGGCCAAGCCCAAGGAGAGTTAAATCCAGTTGGTAGCCGGTCACAAGCAGTGTTCCCCAGGGCTCAGTTCTAGGGCCGGTCTTGTTTAATACCTTTATCAAGGGGATTGAGTGCACCCTCAGTAAGTCTGCAGATGACACCAAGTTGGGTGGGAGAGTCAATTTGCTGGAGGGTAGGGAGGCTCTGCAGAGGGATCTGGACAGGCTGGATTGATGGGCCAAGGCCAATTGTTCAACAAGGCCAAGTGCTGGGTCCTACACCTGGGTGACAACAACCCCAGGCAATGCTACAGGTGTGGGGAAGAGTGGCTGGAAAGCTGGCTAGTGGAAAAGCACCTGGGGGTACTGGTGGACAGCCAGCTGAATATGAGCCAGCAGTCAAATGTAGAAAATGAGGTGAGCGACGCATGGAGCACAAGGCTTGCGAGGAGCGGCTGGGGGAGCTGGGGGTGTTCAGCCTGGAGAAGAGGAGGCTGAGGGGAGACCTTATTGCCCTCTACAACTACTTGAAAGGAGTGTGTAGCCAGGTGGGTGTTGGTCTCTTCTCCCAAGTAACAAGGGATAGGATGAGAGGAAACGGCCTCAAGTTGCATCATGGAAGGTTTGAATTGGGTATTAGGAAAAATTTCTTTACTGAGGGAGTGGCCAAGCATTGGAACAGACTTCCCAGAGAGGTGGTGGAGTCACCATCCCTGGAGGCGTTCAAAAAACGTGTAGACGTGGTACTTCGGGACACGGTTTAGTAGGCACGGTGGTGTCGGGTTGACAGTTGGACTTGATGATGTTGGAGGTCTTTTCCAACCTTAATGATTCTATCATATTCAAATATTATCAAAATTCTGCATCGTTGGTTTTGTGAGATGCTGGAGGAATACCTTCAGATAGAAGATCTTTTTAGTAACTAAAGGGTGTTAGCACAGCCACAGCTTGGAAAGCACTTCCAAGACAAGGGGAAGGATTCATGCTGGGACAAGTGGGAGAAACAAAATAGGTACTACTGGTGGCATGTGACATTCTATCCAAAATTCTGCTCGTCTGACCCAGTAACAGTGCCTGCTTCATCTTACCCAAGCACTGCAAATGTATTTTAACATTTACATTTAGAGCTATGGAAATGCTATAAACTAGTTCCTGCCCAAACACTCAAGGAGTTTGCAAGAAATTGGTATAAATCAGTCATTAATAAATTAATTCAGGCTTTGTTCTTTATGACTTTAAAAATTATATTTAAAAATCCTCCAAAACAGACAGCCTTTTCTGACCACCTCTTAATTTTTAACCATAAAAGACATTTAGCCAAGGAGTATCAAAAAAAAAAAAAAATGTTCTGCAGTACTCACTACTACTCTTTTTGGTCCCCAAGGTCTGGCCATCTTCAAGGGAGTTTGAGCCCACAGAGGAACTATCCTGACTGTCCTGGTGGGGCAGCTGAAGAAAGCCTTCACTGGATTCTGAACGGGTAGGCGTAAGGGTCACAGACTTCAAACGTTCTCGATTAACATCCTTCTTAGATTTTATCAGCTTCCTCATTTTCAGAGTAATCCAGTTGCCCCTCCTGTTATCAATAATACAGTACATTTATTGCATTTGTAATACATTACTTATGCCTTCAGACTTTTCCTAATTTGTATGCAAGAACACAGCCATGATTCTGTTCCCCTGAAGTTTAATGAAACCTTGATTTTCAGCTGGAACAGAATAGCTATGTCATGTTTTAGATTTCTGTTTATTTTTATATCATGTTCATCAGTACCTTCTCGGTGGAGATGGTTCGTAAAATTTATACTGATCCATTATCTTCTCCTCCAATTTCTCCTTCTGCCGCCTTAATTCATTTAGCTTGTCACTGTAAACAGGAATGAATGACAACGTATGCTTCAAAACTGTATACCTAACATGCGACTAGCATGTTCCTTTGGATATCTGTTATCTGAAAGTTGTAACCCTTTGGGTATCTGTTATCTGAAAGTTATAACTTTTCATGAAGCGTTTTTATATAATGCTTCTTTCTTACTGAAAAAATCAATAAAGAGATACAGCAAACAAGCAGTCTTACATTTAACATTATGACATAAAATTGAAAAAAATTCTATTTGCCTTTATTACACAACAGAACTTTCCCCTTTTTTTAATCATAAAAGTGCATATAGACTCTACCAGAATCTTTTAGACAAGCACATTTTATCTTCTCTCAAATTCACTAAAAAGTTTACAGATTGCAAACAAACCTAGGAACTTTGCTTGTAGTAGAATGAGGAATAAATAACATTTTTATTCCTCATTTGCATCACCAGTTTTCCTCATTTGCATCATGATCCTTTAGAACTAAAAATATAATGTTTGTGGTTTATCTGCTTTTCATATATAATTAAAATTGTTTATTTTAAAAAGAGAAACATTTCAGAAGTAGCACACATGTTAACTTCTATAAAAACCAGATTTTTTTCTAAAATACAGGTTTTAGTGTAACTGCCCTAATCACAGTCATTTCATTGTTTTAAAACTCACATGTACTGCCTTTGCTCTACATGGAAGAGATCCTTGCTTTCCATATTCTGCTCAAGTAATGTTCTATTCTGTAGCATTAACGTCTGAATTTGATCTAGTAGATGTCTGTTCTCCTCCTCCAGATTTCCTTTAAGCTGGCTAAGCAGCTGTTAAAACATATGAAATGGCACATGCATATCTATGTGAGCATATTTTACACAGATACTGAGATTGTCAAGAAAATTTAGATCTACAAAGGATTCTGACAGTCAAATCAAACAGAAAACTAAATCACGACTCAACTGATAAAAGTCTCTTTGAAGCTTTAAATAACTTAAAACAGTTTACCTAACACGAGCCCCAATTTTTGTACTGCCTGTACAACAAGCAAATGAATTTGTCTTTGGACCAACTTCATTATCTATAAATCAAATTACTAATTCTCAAGTACTTCATATGGTATTATGGATCTACAAATACACATACATAAATGTTACAGCGATAACCAGTCATGAAAAATAGCGTAATTCTCACATACCTCACACTGATTATTTAGTTTTGTAGATGTAATATCCAGTTGTTGGTACTGTTCTTTGAGTTTAGAAAACTCAGCTTCTAATCGTGTTTGTTCTAGTTTGGAATTGTTCAATAATGTTTTCAAATTCTTATGATCAGTTTGGAGAACCTCATTCTCTTTTAAGAGCTGACTGTATGTATGATTTAGCCTGGAATTAGAAGACACCATAAAAGAACACATGCAGATAGAAGGAAATGTATTCGTGACCCACACTCCCTCTGAAGCGTGAAATTTCCAGATTACTACATTTCTACATTACTAAATTTCTACATTACTCCATAGAATATATATAAAAATTTCTTAGAATCGCATACTGTAGGCAAGTCATCTCTCAGTCTAATTTTCTTAGGTATGCATTCTGCCTTTAAGTCAAACACTCCAGGCTCTGCATATGTTTAAAAATAAAGCAGGATTTCTAAATGCAGACATCACAACTGGTTTTGAGATGCAACTCTTCAAAATACAAGAATCTTACAAAACGGCCAGAATTTCCTGCCAACACAAAACAGTAAGGAAATAGGAATGGTCCAAGCTTTGGCCATCACGGAGGTTGCATATACTGACTCTTCAGCAACCTTTGTCCTTACTGGGCCCTGCCATGTCCCTTTCTAAAAAACAACTTCTGGGTCCTCCTAATTGTCCTCACGCAACACCAAAGGTAGGAGGCATTTAATTGTGAGCCTCTTTGCCAGGTGAACAAATCTTAATACCTCTTCTTGAGGAGGGGAAGTATCGTGCTATGTAAATACTACTATTCAACCCGACCATTTACGGCAAGCTGTATCTCAGTTGCAGGGGTCAAGCAGGGCTTCGCCAGCCACTGCACTTCTACTCCCACTGGCATTAACCTCAGTTATCTTGCCCCCTAAGCAACTCACGCAGAGTGGCTTGCTCCCTCTACCACTCACGACCGTACCGCACAAGTGCTTGGTCTGGCATTCCTCAAGATGCTATGCGGAATGCAGTACTCTCAGGATATAATTATTATTTTTTGTGGGTTTGTTGGTGTGTGTCTGTCCCTCCTCCCCCTTCAGTTTTTCTAAAATGAATGTATTGCAGATGAAAAGAGTGGAGTTGCTATAAGGTATGGATAGTAAGTGTCCTGAATTGCAACATCAGGTATTAAGAAATGTGAGAGGATACAACACTTGTTCAGACTGTATCGACAAGTGCTCAGAGCTCTACTAATACACATATCAGACTTTTGCTTTACCTTTCATTTTCATCACGAAGTTTTTTATACTCTGTTGCTACAGTTTCATGTTTTTCATTTTGCTGCAGCATTTTCTCCTGCTCTATCTTGAGTACCTTCTCCAATTCTTCCAGCTGCACTTTCTGTTTCAGCAACTGATTGTACCTGCAAAAAAAAAAAAAATCATATTTAAGTTTCTTTTCTTGGAATGACAAGAAAATATGGAATTTTTTTGAAAAGGTGATCTGTCAAAGTTTTAAGATCTTAATGTCATACTTAAGTAATGCTGATTTTATTCATACTAGTTATACGGCATCTTTTGCTTTTTGCTCAGGAATCGCAGACTCTCATTTTACTTATGCATATTAATATTTACCTATCTTCTAAGTCCTTATGCTCCACCTCCAGATTTTTGTGTGCAGACTTAAGACTTCCATGTTTAGCAATCAGAGATTCGTACTCAGAAGCTTGGCGTTCATGCAGGTGTTCCAGCTTCTCATGATCCTTGAGAAGTGAATCGTACAATGATTTCAGATCCTCACGTTCCTTGAGCACACATTCGTTCTCATTTTCTAAAGCAGACTGCTGGATCAACAGTTGTGCATTCTGATTCATAAGAGATGTGCTTTGAGAATTAAGGGTGGAATTTTCAACCTGCAGTCATAAACATATGACAAAGAGTTGCAAATTAATTTCATAGTCTGGACTATCTGGTCTACCTCCTCCTACTGAAAGATTTCTTGAGTTTAACCCTTAGCATCTTAGCAACCTTCTAGTTATTCCATTACCTGACAACTTTTAATAGGAATACTTACTTTCTGATATCCCGATAAGACAATTCCAACTCAAAATATTCCAAGAGTATTCTTATAGCAGTATTGCAAGAAAGCACTTAAGAATATGCTTAAACTGACACAGGGGAGAGGGGGAGAAATAAAATTATTATTTACCTTCAAGTATCTGTTAAAGTGCTATCTAGACGAGAGGCACATTTTCCTCTCAGCATTGACAGCTCTAGTGTCACAATATCTTAGAGAAATGGATCACCAGTGATCCTCATATCACAGAAGCCAAGGCTGTGACATGACTGAAAGGAACTGTCATACTGGCATAGATTTTTTTTTTTCTTTAATCTTTATTGTACAGAATCTCTATCACCACCATAAAATCCTTATTGTATGCACATATCCTTTATAGTAAGACTTCAAACAGTAGCATCCATTTAACAGAGAGAAAGGGAAATGAAAATAAGAGCTCCTGGAAGGAAGTACCCATATTCTGATTAATCAAGGAACTGCCCTTCACAGTTCTCTTCCAACAACAGTAGTGTCACTTGATCACTTTACGCACGTGTTGTGAGATCTGGTGGAAAGTACTCTTCCTGTGGAAGAGTACAATTTCTCCAACAATTATGTCAGAATAGTATTAATGCCTATTAATACATTAAAGCCTTCAACATTAGACAGACTAAAAAGCCAAACCAAACAACAACTTTATTCTGTGTGCCTCTGGAAAGATTAAGCTAATCTAATCTTTGGATATCTTCAAGAATAGACGATACCCAACATGCTTGTCATCTGACCTGTATTAGGCTGGTTTCCTTCTCCTTCCTATTCAAGAGCTGAAAATCAGAAATTACTGAGGCTTCTAATACCCTCAGGATAGCTATTAAGGGGGGAAAAAAAAAAAAGTCTATCACTCCAGTGCACGCTGTTACTAAGGAACAAATCCCTTTCTGTTGGAACTGCAGCATTCTTTGTTACAGATGAGAAAGCTGAACCTTTCACTGGAAATGAAGTAATGTCTGATGGCATGTGTATGCTGTGAAACTTCCCAGACTGAATCCTGAGTTTGATTTAGTTCAGAATTCCCCGTTATCCTTTAAGACATCCTTTCTCTTGTATGTTCCTTATGGGTATCAGAAGGAATAGTAGAATTACAGTTGCCTAAGAACAGTTTTCACATAGTCCATGCAGACCAGCTGAGTTTGCACTTCAGATGCAGCTAATAGTTAATCACTCTTATTTCCTTGAACATATTTCACCTTTCATTTTGATTTAGAGCTGATGTAGAGTTGTCTTGCAACTTGCCTGAAGCTATGAGCAAAATAGCTGAATTCTCAAGGAAGGAGAACTCCTGCCTTTCTCAGTCTGTTGGGTATAACATCATTCAGTCATCCCTGGCAACGAAAATTACCTCGCTTGGTGAGGTTCACCACAAAAAAAAAAAAAAAAAATTAAAAAAGAAATTGAAGGCGGAAACCACTTCCTCCTCCCAACTCACTGCCTCAATACTTTTACGTATCTACAGTTAATTCATTTTCCATGTGTATCAGATAGGAAAGGCCTGTGCTGTTGTGCAATTTATGAGGCAAAAAAAGGAACTACGTGGCTATTCCTGTTTTTCTGACAAATGCTCAGACTGCTGAATCCCAGAGACATACCCTCATCTGTTTAAAAAGGTGTATTTCCATTTTACTAATTTTTAACAACTAGACGAGACAAGAGTTTGCACACAAATGTTCTGTTCATAGGCTTGCCACCCACAAAGGGGAGGACTGTGCACTAATTAGATTTCAATGTGGCAGACAGAAAGTGCATCTGTGGTGCAACTGTGTTCTTCTTTCCAGAAAGACACAGGATGATAATTTGAGGCCTTCACAAAATGCATTATTTGTTTACTTGTTTAAAGACTCCTTCACTCTTTGATTTCTATCCACCCTCCATAATTTCTGACATTTTTTACTATTTCTGCTGAATTGCAGACTTTGTATTCTTTAAGTAGTTTCGATTCTTAGAGCTCCAAAAAGCATTAGATACGTAAACAAGAATATTTTATTTATCAGAGGAAAAAAAAAAAAGATATGTATTTAATGACTCTGTTGAAAGTATGAAGAACGACATCTGAATTTTTGCCATAAGAGCTGGAACACTCTGTGGGCAACCATTTTATAATTTCCAAGGTCATGCATCACCTTTTTTTGCTTCTGAATCTAATCTTCACACGCTGATGTAGTTTTCAATGTTTTTTTATTTTTTCAAATCTTCTGTACTTACTAACACCTTCATTTTCCTCTTAGGTATGGCTTTTTTTTTTAAAAAACTCTGTTTATAAAAATAGACAAAATACTGAATTTATTAGAGTCTCTTTAGACACACTACTTCCCTGACCTAAATTAGAAGTAAAGAAAGGAAATAAAAAAAATTAGCTTGGAAGACCGGATAAGAGAATCTACTCTACTCCTAAGTTTGAAGTCAAGAGTTTAAACTGGACAGACACAAAGGATTAAAACCAACGTCTAGAAATGTTATTACTCATCAGCAAATAAAGTATTATTTGACTGCTTTTAGTGCAGATTATTTGCATATTACTTTCTTTTCCACATCTGTACCAGAGGTGAAACGTGACTTACAATACATTACTGCCAGTAGCTTTAAAGCTTTCATTTGAAAAAGCTCTGAACTAATCTTGGTTTTGAAAGCAAAAATAGGAAAATATTACCTGCAGCTTGGCATTCTGAGTTTGTAGAGTTGTATTTTGTTCCTGTAGAGAAACAGTTTGTCTCTGAAGTGCAAGAATCTGAGCCTGAAGATTGCTATTCTGTGTCTCAAGTTGCTTTAATTGGGTCTTCAGTGCTTGCTTCTCTGCCTGCAGTGTAGCATTCTTTGAACATTAAAAAAAAAAAAGGAAAATTGGAGTTCATAGCTATTTTACTGAACTTCAGGAAAAAAAACTTGTTTCTCCAAAACAAACAAAGCAGCGTGACTTCAGAGAGATTTACAGGGTGGAACAAAACTGTAAATCACCTTATGTAACAAAGTAACTCACAGTGATATTATCACTAGGGGTTAAGACTGAAGAAATGGGTAACTAATATCGTACCTATGGAAAAACAGTAGAGAAATCTCTATGGCTCATGTAAATAAGGGTTATGTAAGAGGGATTTAAGAGGTATCTGTGGATTCAAAAGGGCAAATTCAGGTTTCCACATTTCCTTTTAAATCTTGGTCAAGCGCTTTACAGCATCTGTCAGTGCAGAATCCAGCTGCTTCATAAGCTACATTTAATTCACATTCTGCTCAGTATGTAAACTAGGTGATAAATTGCATATTTTGTTAACAATACTCGCATTCGTATTGCTGGAACGGCTCACAACAAATAATTAAAATCAGCATATTTAAAACACATCTTACATTCCTTTCTACTTCAATTAATCTATCTTTAACTTTCAGTAATTCTCTAGTAGTTTCCTGATTTTCTTTCTCCCACTTATTGACAGATTGATTGTCTTCTCCGCTTCTTGGGGGAGAATTCTGAACCATCCTTTCTTCTTCTTGTCTTTGCTTGAGAGCTTCATAGTTCTTTTTCACCTGAAATTATTTAGGACAACTTAAATTAGTTTTAGAATTTTCCATTTTCTACATCCTGATTTATTACATGACCACACCACTTTTCACAGAACAGAAAGCACCATGTGTATGTTACTGTATTTGTAAATTTGCTTTCTGTGTATGTTTGGGGAGATTAACTACAACTAATTTATGGATACTGGTAGCTTAAACATAACAAACACTTGGGCTCATAGTCATACCTGTCTAACAGGAGGAGACCTCTATTTTCTATTTTACTTCACTGCTTTCAACTGTATCCCCCAACTTTTATATTAAAGTACAACGACCATGGAGATCGTATTTCTTTCTTTAACCAGCCCACTGAGGCTGTTCAAGGTAGGTCAGAAAATGTAATTTACTAAGAAATTGTATTTTTGACATCCCAAATCAAATCAACTTCAGATTATTTATCCACCTGACATATTCAATGACCAATGAACAAACTCATCAACAACTTTTCGTGCAATTACAACACTGGGCCTGTATTACTGCAGTCTTAAGAAGCAATCATACCTTTGTCCTGCTTAACAATACCCCAACAATGCCTGGGTTTTGCTGTCTTACACAAAAGGTCAAGTGTAGAAATAACAATAGCTGGTATAGGAGTAATTTAATCTTATAGAAAAAAAAAATGTCATTTTTCCTTACTGTTTTAAGTTCCTGACGGAGCTGCTGGTTTAAATTTGTTGATTCTTCTAAACGAGCCTCCAGAGCAGCAATCTTTTCTTCTTTTATTTCGAGAGACTTCTTAAGTGTAGATTCTAATTTTGACTCCAAAAGCTTGTACCTACTGATCAATGACATCACACACAAAAAAGTCTGTATTTCATAAAATTATTTGAGGCATTTAAATTCTAAAATGTTCTGAAACAGTAGCCTCATAGCTACATTCAAAAATGCTTGAATGCTGACTCTATTCAAAAGCATGAAGACACCTCAGTATTAATATCAGGTCCTATGTCTAAACCAAACAGAAGATGGAAGTCAAAAACATTTCTGAATCCTTCTTTCTTTTAAAACATATTCGACATGCAAAAAGCCACTTTCAGCCACACCAGTAGGTTGCTGGCTTTATTTGGATCATTAGTGCATGTGTGATGACAGCACTCTTCCTTCTGGCTCCACTCCAGCAAATCCAGCAGGGACCCGAACTAAATTAGAATGTGAAGTATTTGGAGAGCAAGATTTTCATCAATTTCCATTTCCTGCCAGCTCACAAAGAGGAGGCACTAGGGAAGGAGACGGAACATAGTACTTTGCAGGTGCGCACTCATTTGATGCATGAATGTGCAAATTGCTCACTCAGCCCAGCTGCTGATATTTTAAGACTGTTATCACTCCTGATGTGCAAAGCTTCCATTTTTTACCATATTTACAATATTGTAGGGCACCTAAAAAACCCTAACCATGTATCTGGGAGAGAAGTGGTCAGATTTAGAATACATCAGTTTAGAACAGTATCTCCTGAAAACTGCCAGTGCAGGATATTCTAATGAATTATTAGCCTTATTAGGAAATACCCCAAACCACACTCATTAATCACTTTCAAGCAGTTCAGTCACTGTACATGTGCTCAGAATCTGAAAAACATCCCACTTCTCCCCACAGTAGGGTAAGATAAACCACTAAGATCTCCCTTTTTCATTTTGACTGCTGAAGAATTTATCGGTTTAGTGAATAGAATAGATTGCAAGAGACTCCTGAATGGGCAACAGCATTAGACCTAGTCAGGAACTGGAGCAGAAGACCAATGGTAAGAGAATTAATAAGTGGAAAACTGTCCAGTAGCATCATGTCGTCGGATGAGAATCCTAGATCGCAAGGTATGACAAGCAATTCTCAGGAACTTAAGAAACAGTAGGCAGTCTATGACTAAGAGAATAGATAGCGTTTCATCTTGCTCCGAAGCATATCTTCAGCTACAAATAAGAGTTTCTGTTACTGAAAAAGTTATACAATTAAGTAGGAAAAAGTTATACAATTAAGTAGGAAAAAGTTATACAATTAAGTAGGAAAAAGTTATACAATTAAGTAGGAAACAAAGAAGGAAAAGGACTAATAGCAGAGACCCAATATCCAGTTTCCCTTTGAACACCTAATAACTGAACACCTAATAATGAAAGATGGTACAAATTTTCTAGTATCACTGAGATTTGGGCATTTCAGATTCAGGATCAAAAGCCACAAATCTTTTGTCTAAAGACAACAGCCATTTGAAAAGAATAGAAAATGGAAAACACTTCAAAATTAACTTATCAAACACGGTCAGCTTAGGCTCCAATAGAAAGACTCTGAAGTGCTACCAAGAACATTCAACAAAAAACCCACAAGCAGCTCTCTCCAATCAGGGAGAGAAAAATTGTGCATTTTTAATTTCGGTCATCAAAATGAGAGGGGCAGACCAAAAATACACTGAGAAATAATTCTGGCCATAATGAACCTAGCTTTCTACAGGCCTGGTGAAACAACTGCTAATGCCTCACCTACCTAAAGATATTAAGAAAGCAATCCAGGTACCTTTTGGATGGATGAAAAGGTTGAGAATAATGAAAAGGTAGGACAGTGGCAGAGCACAACTTCAAACCAACCATTTTCAAAACAAATATTCCACATTCACAGTCATCCAGCTCTACATGAAGATGTTCAAGATAGGTCTACATTCCGGTTTGAGAAAAAGCTCCGAACAGTGGCACAGCCCAAATTCCTTCACATCTAAAACTATTTCATCACAAGCCTGAGCTCAGAGGTTGGCTTTAGATAATGTTTTGGGTCAGCTTCAAGATATAAAGCTTACTGCACACCTCCCCACAGATCAGCCTGAATAGGCACATCATACCCAGCATGATATCCAAGTATCTTGTACCGTCAAATACTCCATCTGCTTCTGTGGTGCTTTCACATGGTCAGTGCTGGACAATCAAGTTTGCCATAAACACCTTTCTAGACAGGCATTATCTCCTGCTGCGAGGCAATCTGCGAAGAATTAAGTGTGAGCTGTTCTTACGACAGTGCAGCTGAGCAGTACCAAACGACAAGAGATCCATGACCAGCAGCAGACATGTGCCAAGTGCAGGTCAACTGGTATGCAATGTTTAAGCCTGCTCTTTGGGCTGTGCTCTTAATATACAATATATACACAGCAAGAAAAGGTGCACTGATTCCTTGAAAAAGGAATAGCAGTTAGAAGACCACTAAGGGAAGATGGCGGGAACGAAGAGAAAATTACTTATTTGTGTAACTCCCACACACAGCTAACCTGGAAGCAAAGGAAGAAATTAAACAGGTCATGACAGGTGCCAGAAGTATGTCAGAAGTTCATTTACAGATTATCATTTAATGAAAGCTGGATAAAACTCCCCATTCCACAGAGATATGCAACTCCAAGTTTTCTTCCAAATTAAAATGTATAGATCCATTATAACATCATTCTGTAAAAAGCAAAGGAAACACTAATACTGTATGGCCCAAAGTGATGATGCATGTAATATCACAAACCAACTAACCTATGAGAAGTGAACCCACACCATCTGATCTTTAGAAGTATGAGCACTTGTAAAGGACAAGTGCCATTGTCTGGAAAGTAGAAGTAGACTTGTAAGTCTTTTCATGTAGTACGATTTGCATCTTTACAGAACAATATTCTCTCCCTTTGCAGGAGCACTCACTCCAACCACTTGGAATCTAGAACGTGATTTAGAAAAATGTTGCTCAATCTGGACTTCTTCATCTAAGCAGTTTAAGCCTCAACTCAGCTCAAGGATTGGTTCTTCTTTGTATGGTATATTCACCTAAGGAGAAACCAAACGCATACTATGCACTGTATGCTAACACAGTAATGCTTAAATAGGACGAAATCACACTAGGGAAAGTTCTGAGAACTTTTTTTGACAGAAGAACTCCTCATCTGTGAGATGAGAAAGGTAGATGAAAGACACCAGCAGAAAACAAGAGGTGGTAACAGATTCTCCCTACAGGATTCTGGCACCACACCAGTAACAGAGCACTGGCAGTAAAGAAGGGAAACTGAAGAGGAAAAAAAAGTAATTTGGTTTTCTTTTGATATAGAAGGCCCAAAATCAATCTTCATGTTCATGACAATCAGTTTTAATAACAGATCATGACAGCAGCTTTTTTTCTTCTTCTTTTTTTTTTTTTTTTTTTAAAGAGCACAACTGAATAGCATAGTGAAATAAAGTTTGGCTAGAAGCCCACACTAGCCTGCTTTTCTCCTGTCACCAATTTTCCCTAAATCCCTACAGGATAAGACAGAACACAACATACAGTAGAGGAAACAGATGTCAGGATAGCAGCTGCTTTATAATGGCAGGTGTGGTAGAGCGATAGAGCCAGCACGAAGTTTTGGAGACGCTCGAGTATTGATACTTCCCAGCCTGTGTAAGTGGGAATGCAAAGAGTTTCCTTTTGGTAGGAAGAATTAGAAGGAAATAGTTGAAAGGTTTTTTTGAGATAGTTTAAGGTAACGGTTACGTGACAAAAGTGTAAAGAACATAAAGAACATTTCTATCACCCAAGCAGTCAAAAAGGGGAAAAAAAAACCCCAAACCCCAACTTTGGGCCTATTATCCTTTACTTCTCCTGTTCCTGCTGCTAAATAGAACATAAAACATTTTAATTATACATTACCTGTATCTACTGACATGCTTAAAGAAATTTCTTAGTGGCAACTCACTTTCACAGACAGCTGAATGTAAAAGCACATCAGTTACTTTATTCATTTCAAAGAATAGAAAGTTCCATTTTGGGGTCTATTAAAATCTATGACTATGCACAAAACCAGCCTGTGAAACCATTTTATCGTTATGAATAAAAAAAGACCCTCATTTCTACGCTGTTCCAGGTAGGCCCTGACATTCTCACCTGTCATCACTGCTCTGTTCATCATGCAAGAGCCGCTCCTTGTTTAAGCCTATTTTTTCAAGTTCATGGGCAAGCTTTTCTAGATCGTTGTTCATTTGTTGAGTCTTCAATTTTTCATTCACCAAGTCCTTACACAGAAAAAATTACAGTCAGTGTTAGCATACAAATAACGTAGGCTTAATTCTAGAAGTGCCGAGGCAAGAGTCTTTTATTACTACATGACTTGAATAATCCAACATTAACTCTCCTTTCCTTCCACTTGTTAGCTTTCAGCCACATCAGACATTACACTGTTAATGAGAATATGATTTCGCTGTAGCTGTTTACTCCCTCCCTTTCTGTAGAACTTCTCTTTCAAATTTGGACTTGAACATTACAATGTTTGGCCAGAACAAATACCGACATGAAGAATCTGAACAACGTTTATTTAACAAAGGCTCCACGACAGTCCGTGAGCAACCTTACACAATTCAGTGGAATAGTATTCAGATTAAAGCATGATTTTTATTTTTTTTCAAAAATACAGATACAATTTCTCTACATTACAAACAGACTATGATGAGAATGATAACTAATTTGTGTTTACCTCTCGCAAAGTGACAAGGGTTTTCTTGTCAATTGTAGCTCTTTTCACGAGTTCTTTATTTTCTTTTTCTAGTTCTTTCAGGCGTACACATGACTCTTTATATACAACTATTTCTTTAAATAGAGATTTATTTTCCTTTTCCAGATTACTAATTTTTACATTGTTTTCTTCTAAAGTATTATCTTTAATTTCTGCTTGTTGTCGAAGCCTTTTATTTTCTTTTTCTAGCTGCTTCTTATCTTTTTCCAGTTGAGAAGTCTCTTGTTCTAACAGCTTATTCTCCTTTTCCAATTGCTCTAGGCGCTTACTAGAGATTTTTAACTCCTCTAAGTTCTTTTGCAGAGTCTGATTTTCAGACTCCAAATCTTGTAATTCACTTTCTAATTGCTGAATCTTCTTATTGCTGTTTTCAAGGGCTTTCTGTAGCCTTTGGTTTTCTGTGTCCAGGCCTTGGTAGCTGACTTCCAAGCGTTCAGTTTTCTTGAATGAGGCTTTCATGAGTTCAAGGCTTTTTTTAAGTTGCTCCTTTTCACTCTCCAGTTCCTTATTTTCCAGTTGTAATTGCGCCACTTTAATGCTCGTACACTTCAAGGATTCAATTGTTCTTCTTAATTCCAAATTTTCTTCATCGAGTTGTGAATTCTCCTTTTCTAAGGATTCTAATTGAAAAGTGAGATTTTTTAGGCTATCCAAAGTTTTTTTGAGTTTTCTGTTTTCCATTTCCAGGTCTGAGTTTTCTTGTTCTAAGGCCTCAATCTTCTCACAAGTGATTTTTAAGTTAGTAATTTTTTTCTGTAATAATTCATTTTCCTTCTCCAAATGATGCACCTCATTCTCGAGCTCTTCTGCTCTCTCCCCTTTCTCTTTGTAGTGTTCCAGTTCTTTCCTGACTTGCTTTTTTTCAAATTCAATCTTATTTAACTTACTGCTGGTCTCTTTAATAGACTCATGAAGGATTTTATTTTCTTTTTCAATTTCTTTCATTCTCGCTTCAGCACTGATTTGTGAGCGTTGTCTCAGAGAAGCTACGGTTTGATTCAAGTGTTCATTTTCTTGTTCTAATAGCTTAATCTAATTGGGAGGGAAAAATCGTAAATTCTGGTAAGCCAACAAGCAATTACTTCCATATATAAGCTGAAAGCTATTAACATCACATCATATTTCCCTTTTATTTATGTTACATCTTATTTCCCTTTTATTTTAAGTTTAAAAAAAAAATCTGTACTGGTATTTATTTGCAGCATTGCAAATATTGTGTATGTACACAGGTGGAAGTCTGACAAAGTCAGTCAAAGTGAGTCTTAAAATATCTTCCTCTTGGATATTAGTAGGTAACAGAAAAATAAAACTAATGAAGGACAAACCAAAACAAAGCTGTATCTATTTCTTAGCTTCATTTAATTTACCCAGATTTTAGATTATTTTTCTTAAACTCTAGTTTCCAGAGATGCGTGTCTACAAAGAACAAGACTGCGGTCCAGTTCTAAACCAAACTCAAGATGGAGGGAGGTATGGGAGCCGCAAACGTGTCTTTATTTCACTTGGGAAAAAAACAGAGGTGATCTGGGGGATATGAGGGCATCCTGATCACAGTCAATAACATTTTGGGAAGAAACACAGCAAAGTTACATTAATTTTTGAGTTAAAAGAACCCTTGGACATGCTGTTCCAAAACAGCTTCCAGAGAAAGTAAACCATATTAGAACTGAATTATTTTCTTAGGTAACATATTCCCAGATCTACTTCAAGGACAAAGGCAGCATTTACATCCTAATTTTTAGTATATCTTGACTTTTTCAGTTACTCCAAATCATTTGAAATTATCTGGGTATGTAACGACAGACAGCAAAATCCACAAAATTGTTTAGGTCAGTATTTAAGAATACACTAATAACATAGCATAACGGGTGTTTCAACAATAAACTGTTTTGGAGAAAAGCAAAAGTGCTAGTTGCAATGAAAAACAGACTGACAAAATTATAGACTGTTCTTTCATATTTAAGTCTGAATGTAAGTATTAATTACAGGATCTACGGCTCCATTCCCAGCAACGACAAACTGTTCTGAAACGATTAATGAGAAACTAATTAACAGGTGGCTAAAACCACAACTTTGTAACACTTCTTTACGTAACCTGGTATGTTTCTGAACAGGCATAGTTACTTTCCATGAATTCTGCTTCTATAATCCAAACTCAACAAAAATCATGATTAATACCTCCACGATTTTTGATGAAATCAAACAAACCTTGTACAGTTGACTACAGTAAGTTTCAGCATAAGATTTGTAAAAGACATGAAAGAGGCTGCTAACCCATCACAGCTCCTAAGTGTATTATTTTTAAGCAGAAACAGTCCCACTGAAATGTCAGTCCTACTCCAACACGTTTAAAACAATATACGTATCCCTGATGGTTGAATTGGGACCTATTCCAAAAAGTTTTAGTCCTTTTTTCCCCTAGAGTACACTTCTAATACAATGTATAAATCAATTATTATAACAACGAACACTTCTAAACAAGACAAACTGGAATATTTTCTGTTAAAGAAAGTAAAGCTTCAATGCTAAGATTTTTTTCATTTTTTTTATTTTTTTTTTTTACTTTTTCTGCCTGGAATTTCATTTACTGATTAAATCGGGCCTTTAAAAATTTTCAGGATTTTTTAAATACTATATTCTGTATTCCAAAATACTATACCCTTGACTTTTTTTGTTCAATTTAAATCTCATCAAGACATTATCAGTGAAATTTATAACGATAACCACAGTTCTAATTCTGAAGGACTTGATTACTAAATATGGGATTTCCAGAATTTTCCACAACTCATCTCCGAGTGGCAACCTTCCACAGGTCCTCTGAATTGCTCTGCAAAGACCTTTAGAAGGTGTCAGCACCCGTAAGATACAGATACGTCAGTGACATTCAGTACCCTCCCAAATACAGCTCGAATCTTTTACCAAGACCCAGATGCCAGTTTCTGGCAACCAAAAATAAATTCTGCTATCCACCTGCAAGTCACAGCTAGAAAACAGTCCAGTATAGGGGAGTACTGTGAAGGTGGGTATGATGGTTCCTACTCCCGATAAACAAGGCTGTGAGCGACACAGGAGGAACAGAGTCAGCAGTGGAGCAGCAGACCGGCTCTGCTACGCTGGTCTCTGTCAGGTCCCTTTGAGGGACAGGCTGCTGTAATTCTCATTAATACTCCGATGCTACTTCAAACACTGACCAGCTGCCTGGAACCCGTTCTCCTCCATTGAGAGGTGTCTGACTTACCTCCAAAGTTCCCAATTTTCTCTTTTTGCTGAGCTACACCCTCTAAACAACTATAGCAAACACACAGCCCATGAAAGCCACGGAAGCATTACAAAACACTAAAAAGTTCTAAAACTAACAGTAGAGCCTCAGCTAAAAATGAGTCATGCCTCTCACCGGCTGCAGGCCTCAGACAAGCTATTTTGCAGCAGATATGTGCTTCTGCCAAATCTGCTACATTTACAATCCCTTTATGCCTGCAAAAAAGTACAAAAGGAGAACAGTAAAGTACAATGCAGCCTTAAGACTTTTGATTCTGCTACTCACTTGTCGCTCTGAGTTTTCTCGAAGTGCTTCAAGTGTCTTTTCAAGCTGTGCTTTTTCTTTCATCAAATCTTTACTCAAATTTTGACTGTTCTGAAGACTTTGTTTCTCTTGGCTAATTTCATTCTCTAGCTCTTCAAGCTAGGGAAAAAGAAATAAATATTACATGTGCTTAAAAATGGCAATAGTATTACTCTTAGCTGGGTTGAAGGTACTATTACAGAAATTAATAAAGAAGGTTAAAGGAAAGAATAAAATGGTATTTTCTATTCTTTATCTGAAACAATTCACCTCTTCTAGGGGTAAGTTTACTTCCGCCAGAATTTTCTCCCTAGTTCAGCAGATTATATTCCTGAAGTACTTTTGCATTAAAAAAATTGTTCAGATTTTATTAGGCTCTGGATGTTTTCCCAAGCATCTTTTTTTCTTTTAAAATTCCATTTTAGTGAGATTTATACTGCTCCTCCAAGTCCCTTTTAGCTTACGCGGGTCGAATGTTGTTTGCTATTACTTAACTAGTTCAAGAGATACTTATGATGGATTCCCTGGAAATTAAATACATAGGTTTGTTTTGCCAAATGGCTCCAACTGTCTTAATGTTGCCAGACAGCAAAACTATTTACGAGTGAAAATAACCAAGTGTGATTTTTCTGTCACATCTAAGCTATAATTAGTTACTTAGAAGCAACATACACATTGTATTTTTAAACAATCATCGGCTGGAACATTTATATTCTCTGTCAATTCCACTGTCCACATTCCCCAATCCTAGACCAGTCCAGACATAACTCAGACCCCAGGCGGGGGGATACTTTTAGAAACAAGTTGTCTGAATTCTACATTAAATTGCTGCTAAATAACACTGAGAAATAAAATCACAAACAGATAGTAGAATGGAATTTGTTCCTCCATGAACTGATTCCTTGACTGGAAATATACAAAAAACATGGTATCAATTAGGTCAGTACCTGAATTAAATCTTTCTTTTAGGATGAGACTAACTAATGTTTGACCACTTCTGGTTTCCCTCTCCCGCTTCCTCTCAAATTCAGATTTTCCTGGTCCTTTACTTAGCAGACCAACGCACGTTTTACAGGGCTATTGGCACTTTCATTGGCTGTTGCAAAGGAGAAGGTAACTGGCTCCATCACCCCAGCAGGGATGCAGTCTGCCCAGCACTGGCCCAGGCTGCCCAGGGGGGCTGTGGAGTCTCCTTCTCTGGAGATACTCAAAGCCCGCCTGGACGAAGCCCTGTGTAGAATGCTCTAGGAGAGCCTGCTTTAGCAGGGGGGTTGGACTGGGTGATCTCCCAAGGTCCCTTCCAACCCTTGCCATTCTGTGATTCTGTGTGATTCAGTCAGCCTCCGTCTGGGAACCCAATTCATCCATCGCCCGTCCAACCGCCAGCTGGGCCCTGGGAGTGGAGTTCCTGTGGTCACTGTATCTCGTATTTGTAAGACTCTCTATCAGCGGTTTGTTTGAAGAGAAAGTGTGCCCAGATAGAGGTAGACGAGGTATACAGGAGTCAGAACAGACATTTTATTAAATTTCACGCTTTTTGCTGATCACTGTTCAGAGCATTGCTTTTAGGGGCAAGTGAGAAAAGGGACGTCGCCAGCCATCCAAAGTGGTAAGAACAGAGTCAGACAACCACAAGGACCCACTACTTCTTGCTGCTTATACCTATTCCTTTCTTTTGTACCCTCCTAGCTCTCTTTCTGGTACCATACAGAAACTCAAAGCAGCACACAGGCTGCTGCAAAAAATACCATATTGTTAAGACATCAGAAAAAGCATGCAATACAGTAGGGATTTCTTTCAATTTTTTTTTAATTATCTCTTACCCACTCTAAGAATAGTGTAACATCTGAAATAGCTTTTACTTCAGCAGATATTTCAGAAGCTTCAGCCATTTCACTCCACTGTAATTAGTCCTGGCGTTTTTTTTCAATCTCTGTTCTTTATAAGTATCACTGTCTGAATTACTCTATTTGATATACATAATTTAGAGAGTAAAATATTGTAGATCAGCACAGATACATCTGACAACTCCTCTCATTCATTTGCTCATCAATTCCTTGGCCCATCTCTTTCTCTGTTATGAATAAGGACACATGACCAAGTTTCCTGCTTAGACTTATCTGTCAGTCTTCACCTATGTACACACACTTTCCCTTGCTTAATTACAAAAATTTAAATAAATGTTCTCAAGTATCATAAAACACTTTCATTACTCATTACATCCCAAATATTAACCTATTTTTCCCCCTCATTGGTAGAAGACCTTTCTGAATCAAATGGTCACATTCTTACATCAATAAAAAGGTATAATTAAAGAAGAGAAAATCCTCTCTGAGGTGGTTTTCTTTTTTACCATAAACTACACACACCGTATCACTGTTTAGACCCTAGTAATACTTTACCCAAAATAACAGCAATTTGTAAAATTACCTTTTGTACCAAATGTTAGGCAACTCATACACTGAAAATTACCTTTTTGCCAAGCCTTTGGTTTTCTTTTTCCATTTTCAGAATCCTGGAACTACTGCCTTCTACAGAACCCACTGCACTTTGTAGTTCTTCCACTGTCTTCAGCAAACTTTGGTTTTCCATTTCCAGCTTCAGTAATCTGCTTGATGTCAGTTCATTTACTTCATGACCAAGTGATTTCTGTGGCACTGTAAAAGAAAAACACCATTTAAAAAAAAAAAAGATTACTCATTACCTGGAGTTCTTAAGACTTTGCATTTTTAGACTTAGAGGATTTAGAAATCTTTGATGGTCCTCCAATGCCTTGCTGGTGAATAGAGCTAGTTAGGATTAATCACCCATCCTCCTCACCCAACAGATAACACTGCAGATGGATAAAAGGAAATGTTCTACTCATCCTACAGTTCCTACTCACACCAGAGATTTGTTTCCTGCACCTGACGATCTCTCTCTAAATTTCCACAAATCCTTTGTATGGCATCCAGCGTACGACCAAGCACGCTATATCGGAAGAACCAAAACTTTTGCCACAGCTATACCTCTGCAAACAATTATTCTGAGAAGCCTTAAAAAAATCTTTCTTAACTTTGAGAACAGCACAGCAAGACGACTCATGATATGATACAGATTATACAAATCTGAATGGCAAGACAATGTAACTCCAAGGTACTTATGGGTTTTACACCTCTGTTTAACTGAACAAGAATCACAAGAATTCACGTAGGCTGTATCTCCACGGATACATGGGAATGAGTAAAAAAAAAAACCAAACAACTAACCAAACAACAAAACCCCCAAAACTCAACAAAAGAAAACAAAACAACAAAAACCCCAAACTGTCGCATCTCTTCAGAGGACAAAAGACTCTGTATTTTAGAAATAAGGACCTGTAATTTCCTAATGCTGTCCAGCCTCTGAGCTTTCAATTTTTCTGTTTTACCAGTTTGCAAGTATTACTATGTTTACCTTCAGAAAGTTCAGTAGTCCTATTAATCTGTTCAAGTTCCCAGCCAAGATGCAATGATTCATCCATACTTTGTTTCTGAGCCATTTCTAGAGTCATATTTTCCTCCATGAGTTCCTCAATCTTCTTTCTGTCCATATCACGCTCCTTAAAAATTATGTCACATGTAATGTTAGAAAACCATGTGTCTCAACGTGTGGAAAATATTTTAGTATCTAGTATACCACAGAGAAATGCAAAGCGCGTTCTCTGATTTGCTAATACACAGTGAGACGGGGAGGAAGAGATGAAAGTATGGAGACCTTAGAAGAGAAATGTAACAACCAGCGAAGAAAAATATGCAGAGAAGAACCTCTTCTCATCATAACCTATGGCAATGACTACTTACTCTTTTCAAAGTTCACTTCTCTCCAAATATCAGGAAAGAAATTCTAAATAATACGCACAGCTTGGTAGCACAGACAAAAAAACCAAATGGACAGAGAAGCAAAATTTTACCTTCTCTAAACTGTCATAAGACTACTTTGATGCAAAAAGCTGTAACAGAACTGGGTCCATGATGAGTGTCTCACCTAGCTCTTTATAAACCCCTCTCCCCTCACATGCTACTTTAACAGGAGTAAGTTGCAGCTGCAACTCTCAACATTTTGCAGAAAACAGAAGTAAACAGAAAGCAATAACCTGTCACACCTTACGGAAAACAAACAAATCAAAACCACCCAGCCAAGTTATTACTTTGTATTTTAGAGTATTTACTTTCTGGAGAAGAACTGGTTAAAAACAGAAATTATTTTGGGAATAACCTTCTGAATAAGTATGTTACTATGTTGCCAGAATTTGAAATATGAATAAGTATTTAAGTGACAACAGACTTATCTTCACACACAAAAAAATTGATCCTATCATTCTTACTAATGAGTCTCTGTATTTCTTATCATCATATATTAGCTATCCAATTAAACACTGTACTGCCTTTCAGAAGAGTCCTGCCGTTGGGAGTTTCTCCTTCCCTAGGCAGAACCAAAGCTATTGCAGGAAACCGCATCTGAAAAGTGTTAGTAAATCAAGACATACCTTCCTCCTTTCCCTCACTTTTTGACCGGAAGCTCTTTTATTAAAAATAGAAATGAAATTCAATGCATGTCAGTTGTCTTTGCCACCCTCCATTTACACTTACCATCTCCATATCATGTAATTTAGCTTTTAGTTGTAGATTCTCTTTTTCTAACTCATGTAATTTATCAGAACGGGCTCGGGTCCCCTCTAATTGATCTTCCAACATTGTCTTTGTTTCTAGCAACACTTGATTGTCTTCCTTTAACTCCTGCAAGAATTAAGCAACAAAAAAACCTCTCACAACAGAAGTATTTCCGTATTCATACAAACTTTGATACACCTCGTAACTAGTTTTAGAAATGTTTCTCTAATGCCAAAACATTCATTTGGAAGTTGTAACAGACTTTTTATAAAAAAGAAATTTACAGCAGTATCATGTAGCTAACTTATGCAATTTTCAGGAAAAGAAAATTTTACGTAAGAGAAATGAAACAGTCCCTAAAACATTAAGAATAAATAAGGTGTTCATAATTACAATCAAACCATAAATATCTCTGTGATTTGAGATGTGATCTGGAAAGATGTATAGCATGTATATGGACTATAGCTAAGTAAAAGGCTGACATCAAATAAAAATGACGTGTGTCAGACTCAAACCAGAAATAAGTAGTATTTCACATGTAACTGAATTGTGGAGCATATTGCTGCATGATCGTGTAGGTGAAAAGGCTTACACGTGTTGAGAAGTTACCTAATTCATGCAAGAGAGGGCCAAAAAGCTCAGGAGTACCACCTCTGAGTACAATTTCCCTGAGCAGAGACTGCTGGAGGCTGGGGGAGCACAACAGGAAAGGATCACCAAGTGCTTGCCCTGTTCTTTCACTCCCCTCTAAGCATCTACTATTGGCCACTGTCAGAGACGGGAGATGGATGTAGATGCTACTTTCAGTCCACAATTTATCTTATTATCAGATTGAACTCCCTGATGTTTGGGTTGCAGGAAACGGAGAATAAAACTTAAGAGAATAATTTTCTACAGTCCATAATTGGGTTTACAGGCCATCAGGCAAACTTACTTAAGCCCAAAGTCAGCACGCGATGCTGAAAATGCAACTGCATTCTTGAAACACAACCAGCCATATTCAAAGGTCCTAAACAGCTTTAGCTTATGTACATAGAGGATTTTTTTTCTAATGGCATCTGATGAAAATAATAATATGTAAAAACATATAATTGGCAATTTTACTCATGATATAAAGGCAAAACTTTTCAAACTTCAGCATACAGTCAGCTGCAAAATCTGAAAAAAGATCAGTGAATATAACATACAAATATTTACCCTTCATACTCCTCCCTACACAAATATTAAGTTAACTTATTATTATGAAGCAAAACCAACCAACTAATTAACATCTGTCTCTATTCAAGCATGCTTGAAAAATCAGACAGTTTACAAGCTATGAAAGATGTAAACAAATTTTAGGTTTTTTACTAGCTTAAACATTCTATGAAAATGAAATTTCCGCTGTTTTCAAATCCCATACACTATTCTCTTTTCCTTTACCAATTTTTTTAATCATATGCTTTCAGTCCCTCTATACTACTCTGTAGTAGGTATACACAGTTTATAAAGCCATTCATGTAAGATGATTTTCAAATAGTTCACAAAGGTTCCCTCATTCGCGGGCAGGCTGATGATAATGCTCACCACTCACAGTACCTGATTTTTCCAACAGACCCGTGTATGCTAAACTATTACATCATATCTAGGTAACAGCCAATGACTTTGAGGGAATTTGAGAACATGAATCACCGCACTGGACCTCTATCACTGAGGTCAAGTTGAACAGCAGTATTTTATTTAAAGTATGTCAAACATTGAGAAAAGATCCAGAGTTGGAAAGTAGTTAGGTTTAAGTCATCAAAATAACTCTGAAGTAAACCACAGCAAACCAAAAAAATGGTTATTCAGTATTTTTTTTTTTCCTTGACATACCTCCACTCTAGCTTTGTAGAATTCAATATCATGCAGCCTCTCTTTATACCGGCTGACTTCACTTTCAAGCTTGTCAACTCGAATTGCCTTCTCACGAAGAGCATCTAATTCATCTCTATACACTCTGGCAGAACGGGCATCTGAGAGTAAATTCATATTCTAGAAAATAAGAAAATACCAAAATTATAGGCAAGAAGAATGGACAGCGCATGCTGAAGGATTACATAGCTGCTTCATTATTTAAATCAGGAGTAATGTAAAGGAGTATCATAAATTAATTCTGAGAAAGGTAAAAGGAAAAACATAGTATTTTAGAGGCTCAGTCCAGATGATGTATTTCCAGGAAAACTGCACTGGCCCTTTTCAAGGAGAGGTGTGTACACAATTTTAAGTTTCAGAACAGCACATTTCTTTTACGGATAATATTTTCAAGTGACCCCAAATAATTTTATATACTCATATCGTAATAATAAATGAATCGGATGTTTTCCCTCATCATCAACACATAGACTCAAAGTATAAAGAAAACCAGCCAAAATCAGAGTGGATTGTTCTTGAGTGCATGTACACCCATATGGTATGTTGGTGATAAATTGCCTGAATGTGAAAATAGAAAAATTAAAGAAATACTAGCCTAACTCAGAATTTTCTCCCAGCATACTAGACCAAATAAAGGAATAAATTATACAAGACCACATTCAGAGTGCAGAATAAAAAAAATGCATGAAAGCATACTTCCTAATTTAAAAAAAAAACAAAACAAAAAAATAGTAATTCTAGGGGTGGCAATTTTTTTTGTCCACTTTAAACAATAGTTTTACAAAACCCGTACCTCTTGCTGAAGTCTCTTCAGTTCAGCTTCCATCTGTTCAAGTTCCTGTTTGCAGTCAAGCAACTGCTCAGTCTTTTCCTCACTTAAAAGACAAAACACAAACCACAGTTAAGTATGTCTGCAAAACTTGATTATTATCATCTTGTTTGAGAACAAAATAGTGAGATTCATGAGACTTCCCTTATTTAATCCAGAATTTCACGGACATCAGAGTGTAAAACTTAGGTATGCCATTATGCTTTAGGTATTCTTTAGGTTTTAGTCTGCATCTAATCTTTTAAATTTGGTCAGATTTTTTGTAGTCCTTTAAATTGTTCACTAAGATCTCCCAGTTAGGTGGGGCAGAAAACATTAGGGTGTAATAAGCAATTTTTTTTGTAAAAAAAACCCAACCCAGACAATACATGTGAATGTGTATCAGGAGATCCACATCCAAAAGCAAACTTAGAATAATTTCAAAATATACATTCAAAAGGTCCAAATATTTTCCAGGAGAACCAGACAATGCCCACTGTTGCATCCTGCCACAGATCAGGTAAAGGTGATTTTAAAAGCACTTTTATGCTTTTGTCATTTTTCTCTCCCTTACAGAGAAGAATTAAGGTTTTCAGGTGACTTTCCTCATTAAAAGAAGATACTGCTCAATAACCTTTAATAGTCTTATGAAATGCATACTGAATTTTAATTTTAGTGAAACAACGCAGTGTCTGTTTTAGTCTACTCAGAGATTTGCAGTAAAACCAATTTGACATAGAATTCTTACAGGACTCATTCTTAACTTCTAGCTAACACTTATTTCTCAATCCTCAAAAAATGAGTTCGTTAAACAATGAGTAAGTGCAAGGGAAATATTTAGTTCTCTCAAAGACATGGAATACCTAATGTTCAAAATTCAACTGCACCTCAGAACAAACACTGTTGAAAAAACCCTGCCATATCGAGTATTGTATGCCCCCAGAAGATATATTGCATATTCAAACATGTTACTGTATTATTTAATATTTTGGAATACAAGTGTGAAACAAAACAGAAGTAGAAAAGGGGGAAATAAATAGTAATATTTATTAAATAATACCTTTGATGGACTGAACTGTATAATTCAATCTAAAAGTAACCACACTAACAAAAAACATATTTGTTTTAAACAAAACTAGAACAGTTGTTTTTAAAAATGAGACAATCTTACAACGAATTATCTTTTTGCAACCATATGTTGTTTCAGAAAGGTCTTTGACAGCCTAGAAGCACACAAGGGTTTATCTATGTGTAGCTCACTGCAACACCACTGTCCACAGCTGATATCAAAGCTTTCCCTCTACATGGGTGTTCAGAAACCATAAAGAAATACAGATGTAATCTGTATTATGTTAGATTACTGTAACTATTCTTATATTATTGTTCTACATAGAAACACACAGGACTTTATATAGAAAATTAGGTGTGCAATTTCCAGTTCTGGAGTTTCTGTATTACAAGCCTCAAATTGCTGTTTTGCATTTAACTGTTGGTATATGGTGCTACAAAGAAAAATAATCTTTACAGATCTTTTGTATGAAATTGTATTAGCTTCAGTGCGTACTAAACCAGATATGAAGCTTCATTGCCAAAACCAGATTATAAATACATTTTAAACTGAGTATTTTCAACTCTGGAACGAATCTCATTTTAAATTTATCAAATACATACAGCATTTAACATCAAAAGCTACAGACAGAAGTTAATTTATCAAAGTCTAGTATTTTAAATATAGTGCTACGCGTAAAAGAAATTTATTTACGAACTGAATTCAAATAGAGTGCAAAATGTGAAATGTTCCGAGCCATCACTGTTGCCCTAATTGCATGCTTCAGCTACAGACTAGAGAGGATTGTACTAAATTATACAGAACATACCAGTGTTCACTGTTTAGGCTATCTATTAACTGTCAATCAAACTAATAACAGCAATTTTTTCACTAATTTTCTTGGTGCAGCTGTTTATAGAATATCCTGGGCGGGCTCATTTCAGTAGACACATAATAATACAGACATCAGAAAAAAAAAGAGCCGTATCTTTTTGTCCTCTATTCTTCATGAAGACCAAGATGTAGTGGGGGAAGGGGATCCTCTGAGTAAATCAACCAGATACCTAATTCAGCCAGCTAGAGATGATCTGATCAACAGACTCTGATAAGAGCAGACCAGCAAGCTGACAATTGTGACTTATGCTACCTTCAACTTTTAATTTAATTTTACCTGTCTCCTGTCTCCGTGAGATATGCTGGATTAAAAATAAAAAATAAAAATCTTTATTTATGCTGTTTCTAAACTACGGGCAAGTTACTATATATATAGAATCTCTTCAGATCTAACATTTGTATTTTAAGTTCAAACTGCACACCCTTTGCTCTGCTAAAACAACATTACACATTGCTATAGCGAGAAACAGATTCTCAACTGGCCTGTTATTGTTCTCTTTAAATAACTCGTCACTACTGCTCAGTTCCTAGACTATGAAGACAAAGTACCCACTGATGATTGCTTTTCTTCATAAAATAGAAGGGATAAAAAAGGTTTTCATTAGAATATAAAAACAAAGAAACACAGATTTTTGTTATAATGGGACTGATTTTTCACAGTGCTCTGATGAGGTGAAGGAGGGGAATACACCCCTTCGCTAAGAGGTCAGCACCAGGGGGAGAAGGCGGCGTGCCCTTAACTGGATGAACATAGCAAGTTGGAAACTGTAAGAAACCATTACTGACCCGAGCTATAGAATTTACTCATTTCACAAATTACACTATTCCTTAGACATAAATAACCACCTCCTGCCAGTAAACTCAAAGTCTGTTTCACTGCATCCAGGTCACGAGATTTAGTGTAATTTGGTTTGCATAATTTTCTTTCTTTCTTTCCTTCATTTTTCTCTGTAGAGTGCCATGGCAGATAGAAGCAGAACAGCACTGAAGAGAATGCACAAACAAGTATTGTGCAGACAAGGAATTTTTTACATAGAAAGGAGCGAAGGGGGGGGTGCCAGGAGATTATTCTAATGATATTTTTTTTTTCCTATCTGCAACAAAATTAAAGTGTCTCCTAAACCATGAATGAACCATAGATGACTATTTCTTACTATATTTCCAGCAATAAACAGGTAACTTAATCGTGCGGCTGATAAGGAATCACTACAGCACTATATCCTTTTAAAAAGGACGTTTTTGTCCCTAATCCTTGAATGGTCAGGACACAACTCCTGCTTCCAGTCCCTACCTGCCTGCCCCATGCAACC